CAGTACAGCAGTAAACAGCTGTGCCGATGGGGAGCACCTGCGATGTTTCTGACGCTGGGTGGGATGTTGTTTCTCCATTTAGTCATGATGCTGAATGTGAGGAATAACTTCTTTTTTCATTTTTCCCCCTTCATGTTAAGGAAGCCCCTATCTACTCCTTTTTTATTCAGTATCACTAGAGTTATTTTCTCAAATGCTTCTGCCCCATCTATAAACAGAATTGTATGATTTTTTTCTCCCTAGATAGAAAAGTACGGAACCAATCCTTGCACTACTGGAATAACCATTCCCTTCTTCCTGGTCACGATTCTTTTTTAACATACTGGTGAATATCCTTGGCAAGTACTTTATAGGCCTTTCACATCCATTATTTTTAACTAAAAATGGTCTAAGAACTGTTGTTTGCTTAAATCTTTGTCAGATTTTTTTTTATCAGTACAACTAATTAAGAAGGTGTTTGTTTTTGATGTGTGTGTGTGCTTTTAAAGCTCCAGATCAAAAAAAAAATAACTATTTGCTTTTTAAAGATTTAGTGGGAGTACTCTAAAACAACTACCGTGTTCTTTGTTGGGGTAGACAAAGTTAGAGCTTTGGCAATTTCCCAACTTCTACAGAAAAATATTTAGATACAAACACAAGGTGAAGAAAGGCCTGGCCGACTGGGCCGGTATAGATGTAGTACTCTTTAAGTTCTTTATTACTATAAACACAGCCTTCTAAACACTTGGATAACAGTCTGGAGAGAAAATCTGTGGCTCAACTTATATTTGATCAAGGATCTAACCCAATACCTGGAGCAAGGACAGTCTATTCAATAAATGGTGCTGGGAAAACTGGAATTCCATGTACAGAAGCATGAAGCAAGACTCCTATCTTTCACCTTACACAAAAATCCACTCAACATGGATTAAAGGTATAAATCTACGACCCAACATCATCAAAGTATTAGAGAACACTGGCGATACCCTGCAAGATACAGGCACAGGCAAAGATTTCTTGGAAAAGACCCCAGAAGCACAGGCAGTCAAAGCCAAAATTAACATTTGGGATTGCATAAAATTGAGAAGTTTCTGTACAGCAAAAGAAACAGGAAAGTGAAGAGGCAACTGACAGAATGGGAAAAAAATCTGCAAACTATGCAGCAGATAAAGGATTAATAACCAGAATCTACAAAGATATCAAGAAACTCCACAACAATAAAACAAAAAACCCACTTAAGAGACGGGCCAAGGACCTCAATAGACATTTTTCAAAAGAGGAAATCCAAATGGCCAACAGTCACATGAAAAAATGTTCAGGATCACTAGCCATCAGGGAAACGCAAGTCAAAACCACAATGAGGTTTCACCTCACCCCTGTTAGAATGGCTCACATTCAGAAATCTACCAACAATAGATGCTGGTGAGGATGTGGCGAAAAAGGGACAATAACCTACTGTTGGTAGGAATGCAAACTGGTCAAGCCACTATGGAAGTCAGTCTGGAGATTCCTCAGAAACCTGAATATAACCCTACCATACAACCCAGCCATCTCACTCCTTGGAATTTACCCAAAGGAAATTAAATTGGCAAACAAAAAAGCTGTCTGCACCTTAGTATTTATTGCAGCTCAATTCACAATAGTTAAGACCTGAAATCAACCTAAATGCCCATCAACAGTAGACTGGATAAAGAAATTATGGGACATGTACTCTATAGAATACTATACAGCATTCAAAAACAATGAAATCTGGTCATTTGCAATAAAATGGAGGAATCTGGAAAACATTATGCTGAGTGAATTAAGCCAGTCCCAAAGGTACAAATATCATATGTTCTCCCTGATTGGTGACAACTAACTGAGCATCAAAAAGGAAACCTGTTGAAGTGAAATGGACACTATGAGAAACAGTGACTTGATCAGCTCTTGTTCTGACTGTTGATGTACAATGTAATACTTTATCCATTTTAGTATTTTTTTGTTCTACTTAGTATTATTGGCTGAACTCTTTAATTAACACACAATTATTCTTAGGTGTTTAAATTTAACTGAAAATGATCTCTCTTAAATATAAGAGTGGGAATAAGAGAGGGAGGAGATGTACAGTTTGGCACATGTTCAATCAGACTTGCCCCAAATGGTGGAATTAGAAACGTGCCAGGGGATTCCAATACAATCCCATCAAGGTGGCATGTACCAATGCCATCGCACCAGCCAAAGTGATCAGTTTCAGTTCACAATTGATCATAATGATAGGATTAAGAACCAAAGGGATCACATAAACAAGACTAGTGTCTGCTAATACTAACTGATAGAATTAAAAAGGAGAGAACAATCCAACATGGGAAGCAGGATACACAGCAGACTCAAAGAATGGCAGATGTCCTAAACAGCACTCTGGCCTCAGAATCAGCCCTTAAGGCATTCGGATCTGGCCAAAAAGCCCATGAGAGTATTCTAGGCATGGAAAGCCAAGACACTCTGGCAAATAAATAAATAAATAAATAATCTCTGCGAGTGAGATTCCAGTGGAAAGAACAGGTCATCAAAGAAGGAGGTACCTTTCTCTGAAGGGAGCAGAGAACTTCCACTTTGACTATGACCTTGTTTAAATAAGATTGGAGTCGGTGAACTCAAGAGGCTTCCTTAGCCTTGGCAACTCATGACTAGAGCCTAGGGAGATTACTGACTCCATAAACAAGAGTGTCAACTGTTAAGTCAACAACAGGAGTCACTGTGCACTTACTCCCCATATAGGATCTCTGTCCTTAATGTGTTGTACAATGTGAATTAATGCTATAACTAGTACTCAAACAGTACTTCACACTTTGTGTTTCTGTGTGGGTACAAACTGTTGAAATCTTTACTTAGTATATACTAAATTGATCTTCTGTATATAAAGAGAATTGAAAATGAATCTTGATGTGAATGGGATGGGAGAAGGAGCAGAAGATGGGAGGGTTGCGGGTGGGAGGGAAGTTATGGGGTGAAAAAGCCACTGTAATCAAAAAGCTGTACTTTGGAAATTTATATTTATTAAATAAAAGTTAAAAAAAAAAAAAAAGAAAATCTGCAGCTCACATCTATTGTTCTTGAGCTTTTTTTCCCTAAGTTTTCCTTCTTTATTTGAAAGTCAGATTAGAGAGAAGGAGAGGCAGAGAGAGACCTTCCATCCACTGGTTCAGTCCCCAGCTGGCTGCAATGACAATGCTTGGCCAGGCCAAAGCCTGGAGACAAGAGCTTCATCTGGGTCTCCCACGTAGGTGCAGGGACCCAAACACTGAGGACATCTTCCACTGCTTTTCCCAAGCCCTTAGCAGGGAGCTGGGGACTTAAACACGCAGAAACAGGGGATGCTGGTGTAACAGGTGGTGGCTTTACCTGCCAGGCCACCAGGCCAGCCCTTGTCCTTCAGTTCTTAAAGCAATGGTTCCACTCTCTCCTAGCATGGACTGCGGCCACCCTAAACTATTCTGACCTTTTTATAAACTGACTTCATCAGTGTGCTTAATCTTTTATGTCTATCTGAAAGGTCCTGCCATCTTTTTTTTTTTTTTTTTTTGACAGATAGAGTTAGACAGTGAGAGAGACAAAGAGAAAGGTCTTCCTTCTGTTGGTTCACCCCCCAAAGGGCCACTACGGCCGGCGCTGCGTCAATCTGAAGCCAGGAGCCAGGTGCTTCCTCCTGGTCTCCCATGTGCATGCAGGGGCCCAAGCACTTGGGCCACCCTCCACGGCCTTCCCAGGCCACAGCAGAGAGCTGGACTGGAAGAGGAGCAACCAGGACTGGAACCCAGTGCCCATATGGGATGCTGACGCCACAGGCGGAGGATTAACCAAGTGAGCCATGGCGCTGGCCCCATTTTTTAAGGCTAATAACATGTTCCTTGTTGTTGATTGGACGTTCTTATTGTTTTTCCCTATCATGTACTATGCCCTTTCAACAGCCTTCATTTCCTTTTTTTTTTAAAGATTTATTTATTTATTTGAAAGACAAAGTTACAGGCAGGTGAAGAGAGAGAGGGAGGGAGGGAGGACTTCCACCCACTGGTTCAGTCCCCAAATGGCCAAAACAGCTGGAGCTGCATCAGTCCAAAGCCAGAAGCCAGGAGCTTCTTCGAGGTCTCCCACGTGGGTGCAGGGGCCCAAGCACTTGGCCCATCCTCCACTGCTTTCCCAGGCCACAACAGGGAGCTGGATCAGAAGTGAAACTGCCAGGACTTGAACCGGCGCCCATATGCGATGCTGGCACTGCAGGCAGCAGCTTTATCCATTACACCATAGCACCAGTCCCAAGCCTTCATTTCTTTTAGAAAAATGTTCTTGAACTGCATCATTGTTCAGCTGTTTTGGTTTTTCTTCTCTGAGGGAAACTCATTAAGGACATTGGATCTTCTATGCCCATCTTCTCCCAACCCTTTTTAATTCTTGTTCCATGTGATTTCCCCATTTCCATTCCATGCTCTTGTGTCTTCTGTGTCTGTTCTCCCCTGTGTTTCTTCCATTTCATTTTATACTGGAATGACTTTGTTCTTCCTCTTCTACTCCTTTCCTGAATTCTGACACCTCAGGTTTTATCAGGTGCTGCTTTCTTACCATCTTCTTTTGAAAATCTTCTTTCCTGCATTTCTGTCCGAGGTATTCCTTAGAGTATCTGTCCCCTTTCTCTGTCACGGAGTGTGTGAGAGAGAGGTGGGTTCTGTATCATTCTGTCATCTCACTCCCTACACCTGCATGTCACGGAGAGTGAGAGAGGTGGGTTCTGTATCATTCTGTCATCTCACTCATTCCTACACCTGCATGTCACGGAGAGTGTGTGAGAGAGGCGGGTTCTGTATCATTCTGTCATCTCACTCATTCCTACACCTGCATGTCACGGAGTGTGTGAGAGAGGTGGGTTCTGTATCATTCTGTCATCTCACTCTCCCTACACCTGCATGTCACATAGAGTGTGTGAGAGAGGTGGGTTCTGTATCATTCTGTCATCTCACTCGCTACCCCTGCATGTCACGGAGTGTGAGAGAGGTGGGTTCTGTATCATTCTGTCATCTCACTCCCTACACCTGCATGTCACAGAGAGTGTGTGAGAGGCGGGTTCTGTATCATTCTGTCATCTCACTCGCTACACCTGCATGTCACGGAGAGTGTGTGAGAGAGGCAGGTTCTGTATCATTCTGTCATCTCACTCCGTACACCTGCATGTCACGTAGAGTGTGAGAGAGGTGGGTTCTGTATCATTCTGTCATCTCACTCTCCCTACACCTGCATGTCACGGAGTGTGAGAGAGGCGGGTTCTGTATCATTCTGTCATCTCACTCCCTACACCTGCATGTCACGGAGAGTGTGTGAGAGAGGCAGGTTCTGTATCATTCTGTCATCTCACTCCGTACACCTGCATGTCACGTAGAGTGTGAGAGAGGTGGGTTCTGTATCATTCTGTCATCTCACTCTCCCTACACCTGCATGTCACGGAGTGTGTGAGAGGTGGGTTCTGTATCATTCTGTCATCTCACTCCCTACACCTGCATGTCAAGGAGAGTGTGAGAGAGGTGGGTTCTGTATCATTCTGTCATCTCACTCATTCCTACACCTGCATGTCACGGAGTGTGTGAGAGGTGGGTTCTGTATCATTCTGTCATCTCACTCCCTACACCTGCATGTCACGGAGTGTGAGAGAGGTGGGTTCTGTATCATTCTGTCATCTCACTCTCCCTACACCTGCATGTCACGTAGAGTGTGAGAGAGGCGGGTTCTGTATCATTCTGTCATCTCACTCGCTACACCTGCATGTCACGTAGAGTGTGAGAGAGGCGGGTTCTGTATCATTCTGTCATCTCACTCACTCCGTACATCTGCATGTCCCGCTTCTCTTTATCCTTTCATTCCCAGATTATGTATCTGCTTGCGTGCTGCTTTGCAAAATACCAAGGAGACAAGGAGGGAAACTGCTGTGTCACACTACCAATTTCATCCCAAAAGTCTCTATAAGGAAATACTTATGTAAAATTTACACAAAACAGACTTACTTTAAGAGTTCATCTCTTTCTGTCTTCCGTGCAAACACTATATCACTGCATTTGTTCTGGAACCTGAGCAGAATTTCCGTCAGCTCATTGTAAAACTGTAAGCAAAGAACAAATACAATTTTTTAATCTATGGAGCAACACTATCCACAGCTCATTTGTCAAGAATGGCTAAAGATGAAGAACATTACGTAAAATAAAATCCTCTACATAAGACACAGTCATACCAGAACTAGCCCACGACTTAATATTAAACACCAAGGACCTAAAATTCATAACAAAAATCACTAAAAGCCAAAGAGCAATAAGTTAGAAGTTTATGATCATCAACGTTCTCCAAATTCCTAAAGAAAGGTCAACCAGTTAATGATGGTAACTAATCTATTTAAGTAGAAGGATTACATCTACATATTTACTACAGAAATGTAGGCATAATTTCAGCAATATTCAAAAAATTTCCAAAGGCTCTTTGGAGTTTTCTCCAGAGAGTATAAATATATTTGAATGAAGCATTTTCAACCAAGTCAAAATGGCATTTTATTATCCTCTTTATTCAAAAGCATTTGTACTAATTTTACCCTTTTCAGAGAGTTTTATATTATACTTATTGTATTTAAGTCAAGATTAACTTAATGCTATAATCATTATGGAGTTAAGTATCTCCAAGGAATTACACATCTGAAAAACTTAAAAATCACCTACCTGTTTCCTCAAAGTCAAAACAATTGGTAAAAACAAATATAAGCATTTCCCTAAACTTTCTAAGGCATGAAGGAAGAAAGCACTTAAAACCCATTTAGTATACGCAGAGATTCTCAGGTAGGCCTCGACTGCTGGCCAAGCCACCGCACAGAAGACTAAAGCCGCACCTCCCCTCCCCCGCCACAAGTCAGCTTTGACTGCCCCAGTTCCCTCACTGCCCACTCACCGGTTCACCTACGGACGCTTACAAAAGTGCCTCTGGCTGGGCATCTCTGTGCTGATTCCTGTCACCTGCAATGCCATACACACAACTCACTCTTCCACATTCTCCTGAAAAGCCGCCACTCTCACTAAGCTTTTTCCTTTGGATAACGAACCTCACAGACACAGAAAGCATTAAAAGCTAACAAATTTGAGGCAAAGACTATGTGGTCCAGGTAGAAACACAAATGAATTTCCCAAACAATACTTCCACATCTACACTTTTAGCCCTTGAGGTTCCTCCGTATGTACTTCATACCTTGGTGCCCTCCTTCAAATTAGCTACGAGTTCAACAAAGTTGTCATAAGCAGCAGCCAAATTCTTCAAAACTTCTTCTCTTAGGTTAGCTTCATTGTTAGACTGTTTCATTTTTGAAAATTCCTGGTGTGAGACCTTGTTAAAAAAAAGATTTATATATTTACATTTATTGATAAAATTAATATAGCTCATAAAATATTTATTAATACATTTTCCAAAGAAAAAATCATATAATTACACAAATACTAGAAATACCTAATATAGCATTTCTTGGGAAAGCACATACTTTAAATCTTTCAAACAAAATAATCATAAATCTGATGTGAAAATATAAATAAGGATTAAAGGTTTCTATTAATATATAACAACTAAAAAAACATGAAATGTACACTTCTCTCCCTGGATGTAATATTCAGGAATAGAAATATACAATTTGTAACTCACTAGAAGGACAAAATTTCAATTCCTGTTAGTAAAAACTACCTATGTAAAATACAAACACTAACCTCAAATATCTAAGCATATTCAGTTTTGCAAATTTTTAAAATTACTCAAGTATGCATAGGCATATAATTACAACCATCAATAAGTATACGAAAAAAAAACATAAGCTTTTAAAAACATGGAATAACTCAAAATATCTGAATCATGAAACCCTTCTAAGTAGCATGCAATATTTTAGCCACAGAAACTTGAGGCCAGCGTTGTGGCATAGCAAGTTAAGCCTCCACCTGCTACCCTGGCATCTCATCTAGGCACTGGTTCAAGACTCAGCTGCTCCACTTCCGATCCAACTCCCCGCTAAAGTGCCTGGAACAGTATTGGAGGATGGCACAAGTGCTTGGACCCCTATACCCATGTGGGGGACCTGGAAGAGGCCCCTGGCTCCTGGCTTCAGTCTGGCCCAGCCCTGGTAGTCACAGCCATGTGGGGATTGAGCCAGCGGAAGGAAGACATCTCTCTCTCTCTCTCTCTCTCTCTCTCTCTAACTCTGCCTTTCAAATAAATAAAAAACAAATCTTTTTTTAATAAGTGTGCTTTTTTTTACAAGATTTATTTATTTGAAAGAAAGAGTTACAGAGGTAGAGAGAGAAAGAGAGAGAGATCGATCTTCCATTTGCTGGTTCATTCCCTAAATGGCCCCAACAGTCAGGGCTGAGCCAATCCAAAGCCAGTAGCTGGGAGCTTCTTCCAGGTCTCCCACCTGGGTACAGGGACCCAAGGACTTGGCCCATCCTCTGCTGCTTTCCCAGGCACATTAGCAGGGAGCTGGATTGGAAGTGGAGCAGCAGGGACTCAAACTAGCACCCATAGGGGATGCCACTGCTGCAGGCCGGGGCTGTTAACCAGCTGCTCTACAGCACCAGCCCTGTGAGTTTGTTTTTAAAAATCAATGTGACAGAGCTGGCGCTGTGGTACAGCAGGTTAACGCCCTATCCTGCAGTGCCGGCATCCTATATGAGTGCCAGTTTGAGACCCAGCTGCTCCACTTCCAATCCAGCTTTCTGCTGTGGCCTGGGAAAGCAGTAGAAGATGGCTCAAGTTCTTGGGCCCCTGCACCCACATGGGAAAACCTGGAGGAGGCTCCTGGTTCCTGGCTTCGGATCAGCACAGCTCCAGCCGTTGCGGCCAATTGGGGAATGAACCATAGGATGGAAGACCTCTCTCTCTCCTCTTTCTCTCTCTCTCTCTCTGCCTCTCCTACTCTCTCTGTGGAACTTTGACTTTCAAATAAATAAATAAATCTTAAAAAAAAAAAAAAAAACAATGTGGCACACTGGATTTCGCAAATGCGTAAGTTATCACGCTCCACTGTCAACTGCAGACGCTCTCCAGTCTCACTTTGCTACACGGACGCAGGTTTACTGCCGGCATCTCCTTTCTGTGATTTCTTACTAAGGACAAGTCTCACCTGAATACTTCTAAGAAGCTCCTCCTGCTTCTTCAGCGACTCCTGCACTTTAGACGTAAGACCTCCATAGACTCGATCCAGTTCAGTAACAGAAAGAGCTTCTTCGTTTATCACACCATCTTGAGCCAGAGCTGTTAAAAACTTGCTTGTCATGTCAAAATTCACGGCTTTCAGGTCATTCTCAAGGCCTTCTCTCTCCTTCTTTACGCCATCGAGATTTGTCAATAAGGATTTTAAGACATTAACAACCTAAACAATAAAAAAGACACCTTAGGTAAATTTCAAAAAAAAAAAAAAAAAAAAAAACCAACAACAACAAAAAACCAGAAGCCAATGTCAAGAGAAAACAGTATGGAAAGATCCATTCAGAACCAGGAAGCGATGATTTGTCAGACAGCCAAGTATAAACTGTGCCTCAGTTTCATTAGGATACGGACGCTGCACCTTTAGCTGACTCAGATTACAACAGCAGCAGCAGAATTAATAACAGTGGCAACAGCTACATTTACTGAACATTTCAGTGCCAACCACTGCACTAAACACTTCGCAAACAGAATGTATTCCATACAGTCCCCTATAGCTTACACACTTATTACCTCTATTCCAAAGAGTGATTAGAGTCTCAGGAAAATTAAGCAGCAGGATTCCAGAGAGTGGAGGTGAAACTGACACCTAAGTCGAACTCCAAAACCCATCTCTTAACTACTCTACACCGTACTGCTGCCCGTCATGGTTCTGAGAGGAAGGCACAATTCTCTCAATTAAGTGGATACCTTATCTTGCTTAGACAAACTGCAAAACAGAGATGTTGATGATGATGCAATGAGAGGTAGAGCCAGACATGGAGGGAGCATGCTAGGTGGGGAAGGAGGGATGGAGGGAAACGCATTATCACGTGCACTTTGCATCCTACCAGAGGAACGGAAAAGGGTACTGCACCGCTCTTCATATCACTGGGAGCTGCACCTTACAGTCACCCAGTCTGCCACCTTACCACTGTGTCCGCGGGGCCCCAGCACCTCTACTGCTACACGCAAGCTGCTGCTTTCACTCACATCCCTCACTCTGCAAGGACCACCAAGGAGAACACCAACCCACCCTTGTGTCCTGCTCGTCCCCCCATGCTATTCACAGAAAAGAAAGCAAAGAAAGCAGACGTCACGAAGCCCTAGTCACCGGCCACAAGTTCAGCTCCAGCGCATCCTCCACCAACCTGCCTGTTCCTAGGAATCTCTGTCCTGCTCTACCCCGCCTCCTCCTGGGAGCTCCTTCATGGCAATGTCTGAAGCACCACTCCCTGGTGAAGACCAAAACCTGAGGAAAAGTCTCTAAACTCAGCTGCACTTCCTTTCCGGCCTCTGTTTACACCTCACATCTCCCAAGTGCCCTAACCTTAACTTTCAGAATCAGAAGACAGGGGTGGCGGCAGAAGGGAGGGTAGGAGGGAAGGGAGTAGGGATGGGAGGGAAGGGGCAGGGATGGGAGGGAAGGGAGAACAGAAGGGGAACAAAGGGAAACAAGCTGTGAGCAGTGGAAGAAACATGACTCCTGGAGGTCCAAGAAGTATCCAACCTGCGACTCTCTAAGGGAGCATGAGGAGGAGGACCCATACCTGGATGAAAATGACAAAGTCTGTTTAAGGGACCTGGTGGAACTTGATATTAGAGGATGTGGATAAAAATCTTGCTTCCAAGTGATGTCCAGGATACATTGTCAAATGAAAAAGAAGTGCAGACGCACAGTGCATTTGCGTAGGAGAGAAGGGAAGTCAGAACGAGACGATAAGCACACATAATCCATAGATATATGCATGCATATGTATCTTCCACAAAAATAAAAGCAGTAAAGACAAGCCAGAAACTAACGAATATGTTTACTGATAGGAAGTATATGACAATGAAATGCACAGAACAGCAATGAGATTTCTCTGCATGTGCCTTGTTTCACACATTAAAAAAAAGCACAAATTTTGAGTATAGAAACAAATGAATCTGTCTATCAAAGTGAAACAAAAGTACACGGGGGAAAAAAACTTTCACTCTGACCATACTCCTTTAGTGGGCATAATGAACTTAGTTTCTATGCAACCAAAGACAGTTTTATTACCTGAAAAACCCATGTGTAAAATGGGAATAAGAATAGTGGCAACTTCAAAGGATATCATAAAGACCAAAATGACCAGTATCAAGTGCTCGTCAAAATTTCTAGTACAAGGCTAAGTTTTCAATTACACCAATCATCACCTACTGCAATGGTTCTTAGGGTTCAGCTCCATACTTGGAGTACATCATGAATCAAAGAGGCTTAGGTATCTATACATTCAGACATGGATGAAGAACAATGAGAAACAGATTGGGAATCAAAGTGCCCTTTTATTTTGCTGGATTATAACTATCTCTGTAATTATGTGACATACTGCATATTGGGGGAGATGCAACAGGATATATAAATCTAAAAAATTCTGACAGTATTATCTGCTGGCATATTTAGATTGATAATGGAAGCTCAACCATGACTTCATCTTAAGACTCTCACTACGTGAAGGCTGTCTGGCTATTAGAAAAATAAGAAATGTCATTCTTATCTAAGTTATATGCAATAAAAACTAAAAAGAAAAACTGTTAGCTAAGTAAAACAACGTTGAGGGGAAAATTAGAACATTACTATCCTCTTACACAGTACAGACACAAGATCTCCTCATCAAATAATGAGCCAAAATTTTTGGTGGTAGCACCCCCCAAGACAGCTAGAAACTGCAGAGAAAAAAGAATGGTTCACAGGGATGCAACCTCCTCATCAGGGAAGAACTTACAGACAACGGGCAACGTGAGAAGAGAACTCCAGCAGGACCTGGAGAACCAGCACATGAGTCCTATTACCAGCGCTATGATCTAAACACAATTTCATTCCTGTTCTCAGAGAAGATTTTAAACGCCCAACCTCTATATTAATGGCACTAAGTGGGTAGGACCTTGACCTCTAGTGGGAGGTACCCAGGGAGTGTGGTCTTGGGAGGTAACTCTTGGGAGAAGGCTGATTATAAAGTCTGGGTAGGGCCCAGGACCTCGCTCGGCTTCCTGGCTACCATGCCACTCCTGCTCTGCCCTCACACCACATTCCACCAGGGCCAACAGCAGCAAGTTCAAGGCAACAAAACCACTGGATCTTGGACTTGAACCTCCAAAACCGTAAATTAAGTAAGCCTTTTCTCCTTGTAAAGTTGGTTTTCTCGCGCACTCCATTGGAGGGATGAAAAGTGGACTAATACACAACTCTATTCATGAAAAATGCTAACCTGACATTACTGTTCACAATGTTCTAACCAGAGTGAAAAGGAATGACCAAGCAGTCGCTCAAAAAGTTCTATGCTGATCTAAAATGTGATGATTCTAAGTCTCTGGGGGAAAATGTCATTTCTTTTATGATTTTTTTTTTTTTTTTTTTGACAGGCAGTGTTAGTGTGAGAGAGAGAGAGAGAGAAAAAGAGAGAAAGGTCTTCCTTTTTCCATTGGTTCACCCCCCAAGTGGCCGCTATGGCCGGCACACTCCGATCCGAAGCCAGGAGCCAGGTGCTTCCTCCTGGTCTCCCATGCAGGTACAGGGCCCAAGGACCTGGGCCATCCTCCACTGCATTCCTGGGCCACTGCAGAGAGCTGGACTGGAATAGGAGCAACCGGGACAGAATCCGGAGCCTCAACCGGGACTAGAACCCAGCGTGCCGGCGCCACAGGCAGAGGATTAGCCTAGTGAGCAGCGGCGCCGGCCATGATTATTATTTCTCTATGAGACAGAGAGAGAGAGAGAGAGAGAGAGATATCCCATCTACTGGTTCACTCCCCAAATGCCTGCAATGGCTGGAGCAGCAGCTACGCATGGGTCAAAGCTGGGAGCTAGGAATGCAATCCAGGTTTCGCACACAGGTGGCCATTAACTAAGCTGCCCAGGGTTTGCACTGGCAGGAAGTCAGAGTGAGGAGACAGAGCTGGGAATCAAACCCATGTACTCAAAATGTGGGATGACAGTGTCTTAAGCACCAGGCGAAACATCTGCTTCCAAAAATGCCATTTATTTTTTTCAGATTTATTTATTCATTTTGAAAGTCAGAGTTGGGGGGGAGGGGGACAGAGAGGGATTTTCTATCCACTAGTTCACTCCCCAGATGGCCACAACAGCCAGTGTTGGCCCAGGCCAAAGCCAAAAGCTTCTTCCAGGTCTCCTACATGGGTGGCAGGGGTGCAAACAGTTAAGCCATTCTCTGCTGCCTTCCAGGCCATCAGAAGGGAGCTGGACCAGAAGTGGAGCAGCTGGAACTTAAACCAGTGCCTACCAAAATGCCGCTTCTTATGACCAATTCATGAACGAAAGACACAGATCTCTTGTTAACACAAAATTCTTTTTTTAAACAGCCATATACACTAATTTAACTATATTTCAGATTTTAAGCTACTAGCATCATTTTAACAGAGTGAATGAAGTAGAAAATTAATTAAACTGTTTCCAGAATGACAGAGTACAAAAACCATTGCCTAAGTTTTTCTTAACTTTCAAGTCTGAAAGTTAACATGTAACCAAACAAAAGTATATAAATAGTTAGAATCCAGTGGTATAGGCCGGCGCCGCGGCTCACTAGGCTAATCCTCCGCCTTGCGGAGCCAGCACACTGGGTTCTAGTCCCGGTCGGGGCGCCAGATTCTGTCCCGGTTGCCCCTCTTCCAGGCCAGCTCTCTGCTGTGGCCAGGGAGTGCAGTGGAGGATGGCCCAAGTGCTTGGGCCCTGCACCCCATGGGAGACCAGGATAAGTACCTGGCTCCTGCCGTCGGATCAGCATGGTGCGCCGGCCGCAGCGCGCTGGCCACGGCGGCCGTTGGAGGTTGAACCAATGGCAAAGGAAGACCTTTCTCTCTCTCACTGTCCACTCTGCCTGTCAAAAAAAAAGAATCCAGTGGTATATATATTTCTGCTTTCTAAACAGCTCCAATTAGCCTACAACTAAAGCAGTTCTCATTCAAACAAATGCTTGTGGGTCAAGCATTGTTCCAGATGCTATGAATTCAACTACTAACAAAACCAGAATCCCTTCCTTAATCTGGGATCAAAAGGGAAGCAGAAGATCAAACAAATACACAAAAATCAGAGCCACATGATAAGGGCAAAGATGAGGAAGGGGTGGCACCTGAGACCCATGAAAAAGAGGCAGCAGTCACAGAAGAGGAGGAAAGCAGCCTCTCATGTCTACCACCCCACACTACTCCCAAAAGAAGGAAAATCCAATGCGAAGTCCTGAGGTAAGAACAAGCTTGCCAAGTGCAGAGAGAAGGGGGGGCAAAATGGCCAGTCTGGCTTAAGTACAACAAACAAAAGGCACAATGAAGGGAGACAAAGTCAAACAGAAGGGCAGGAATGAAACAGCCCAGTTGTCCACACTTTGTCTCTCACATCAAGGGCTAGTCAGCTTTTTCATAGTAAATGACCACACACAATACTTTCGGCTTAGTAGGCTACAGTCCCTGCTACAACTACTCAAGTCTGCCTTCGTGGTGTAAAAACTGCCACAGCCGACACGTAAATGAATGTGTGTGTGGCTATGTTCCAAGACACCTGAAGTCTGAAGTTCAAATAGCATCCATCTATCATGAAACTCAATTCCTTCAACTTTTTTCCAACCACTTAAAAATCTAAGAACTATTCATAGCTCACAGACCACACAAAAAAACAAGAGGCCGGCTGGATTTGCCCACAGGCCACAAACTGCTGACTTGGTGTGAGATTACAAAGCTCTACATACATAGCATTTAATAGCACCAAACAGAACTGAGGACATGAGAACTGTTCTCATGGAAAATTTTTTGAGATTTATTTTTATTGATTTTGAGAGGCAGAGTGGCAGAGAGATGGAGAGACAGAGACAGTGAGATCTTCCATCTGGTGGTTCATTCCCAAAACACCCGCAAAGGCCAGGGCTGAACCAGGCCAAAGGCCGCATCCAGGAGGTAGGTACCCTGGGATCGCCCACCCCTGAGAGATCAGAACAGAAGGCAAGACTCCATCCCAGGCTTAACCAGCTGTGCCACAGACCCGCCTCATTCAATGAAGTGTTCAGCTTTACTCCTCAGAAAAAGCTGAAATGCACAGCAACAGGAATCAGGAACCTGATGTACTTCCCCGGTGCCCTGCCACAGTGAGCCCTCAGCAGACGTCTGCTGAACAGGCGAATGAATACTCTGCAGCACACTCAGCACTTGTTTATAGGCTGTTACGAAAAATCAAGGGTAAAAGCTGCATCTGCAGATCCACTAGTCTCTAAGGTGCCTTTGTTTTTATGGACAGAAGGCACCTTTTGCCTTTTTCAATTCTTCCCTGTGAACTCTGGACCCCTATCTTATCACCCTGCCACACTACCTACTTCCCAGTGATCAGGCACTAGCATACTTGTACTTTCTCCTCTTTTTGAGCTTTTCTAATCAGACGCTATTGAATTCCTCCTCCTTGGCATCATCGGAAATCGCACGATGATGTCATCCATTCATTAACATGCACAGCTTAGCAGTCTTCCTTTAGAGGTAGTCCCAGTGAAGTGTGATGAAAAGCAACAAAGAACGTGCGAGAGAGAAACAATCTGTGGTCAGAAAAGAACCTGGCCAAACGCAGTCCTTGCAGGTCATGTCAGTGTCTACACTTCCAAGCCTCCCCTTTTATATCCAACACTGTGAACACAGGAAGTATCTAACGCAGTGCCCGGTTTATAAAAAGCATTCAATAAATGGATATTATGACAAGGTATTAATATTGGCATAACTACGTATTCTACAGGTATATAAATATACATATACATATATACACACACACACACACATATATATACACTGTTGTAAGTATAACAATCCCAATTTACTTCTGCATGTTTTTAAAGATGTTCTTAAAGATGACAATAAGAAAATGGCAGTTCAGGGGAGGCCATCTGGCACAGGGGTTAAGACAACACTTAGGACGCCCACATCCTGTATCAGAATGCCTGGGTTCAAGTCCTTGCTCCACCTTCAAATGCAGCTTCAAGCTAACACATACTCCGTCCTTGAGTCCCTGCAACCCACAGAGACATGGATTGAGTTCCAGGCTCCTAACTTGGTCCTGCCCCGGCCCGCGGCTGTTGTAGGCATTTAGGGAGTGAATCAGTGAATGGAAGACCTCTCCCTGTTTCTGTCCCTCTGCCTTTCAGATATATAAATTAAAAACTAGTAAATAAAACTGGCAGTTCACCATATAGAATGCAGATGACCACCCACATCAAAATGCACCTCTCACCTCGCTGCCCTGCATGGTCTTTGCTGGGTTAGCAGAAGGGATGGCAGCATTCAGCTCGGGCTCCGGCTTACACAGAAGCGCAATGGTGTCACGATGAGACTGATAACGTTCTTTCACTTGTCCATCAGCTTGCACAGCTTTATCTAAAACTGTTCTGAAGTTGCTTCCCTCTGGAGGAAAAAGATATCCCCAGAGCACAGCAGTGATTCTACTGATTATTATATTATATATTATATTATATTAATTAAAGTTCTAATGATTATAAGCTGGTTGTACTTCTAGTTCTGGTCCCTAACTTTACTTATCTTGCCTTTTTATAGTCCTCAATTCACTAGATAATAAAACTTCAGCTCCTGTCAGTCTTTGCAATTTTGTTTCTGAAAAAATGACAAAATCATTTATAAAACCTGAAACACAGCCATACCTTAAAATACATTTGGCAGTTACACTGCCAAATACAAGCAAACTGATGTTAATCTAATTTATCCCTCTAACTCATGAATGCAGAAAGCAAACATTCCCTCCAAAACTCTGCACAACTTAAAAAGTATTCCACTCCGAAAGGTTCAACATGACTTAAAAGAACAGCAGCTATCTCAATAGCATGTATTCCTTTCACAGAGATAAGTAAACCAAGTCTCTAGCCACCACGAAGACACTACCTTAATCAGCACAAAATCTTTAAAGCATGAATGTGGCTTCAAAGTAACTGTTCAAGCTAATTTTCAGAATTCATTGAGTGAAAAGAAATCATAGAATCACACAGATAATATAATCCCATTTGCTTTTAAGATATACACAGGTTTGGAATAGTAAATCACAGCTAAAAGATCATTTTACGGGGCCAGCATTGTGGCATAGTGAGTAAAGCCGCTGCCTGCAATGCCAGCATCCCATATGGGCATCAGTTCAGGTCCAGGCTGTTACACTCCCAATCTAGCTCCCTGCTAATGGCCTGGGAAATGCAGTGGATGATGGCCCAAGTGTCTGGGTCCCTCTCACCCATGTGGGAGACCTGGATGAAGCTCAAAGCTCCTGGCTCCTAGCTTTGGACTGGCCCAACCTGGCCATTGCTGCCACTGGGGAGTGAGCCAGAAGATGGAAGATTTTCTCTTTCTCTGTAACTCTTTCAAAGTAAATAAATAAATTTTAATAAATAAATAAAAAGATCAATTTAATTCGCACTTTACACCTTAAGAACATTTTTTACAATAAGCAAAGGGTTACTTTTGTTACCTTTACGCTTACACTAAACTGAGGAAAAATCTAAGATTTCGTTATAGAACAGTCTCAGTAAAAACAAATATATAGGTGTGTTAATTTAATCAAGTAAAGATGGCGGTTCGGACTGGAAATCTGCTGGAATGAAGTCACTGACAACACACTTACCTGCTCTCAAAGGCTTATAGAGGTCATTGGATGCTGTCCTTTGCCAGCGTTCCTTGAATTTTGCTCTTAAGTCATTGTCTGTTGCTTCTTCTTCATCCAGTAGTCTTAATGACTTAAAAGGGAGGTAAGACAACAGTTAGTTATCATTTCTGACATAAAAATTCAAAACATTTAAAAAATGATCATACCAAATATAGGTCAAAATGTAGTGAAATGGAAATAATCCTGCTCTATTCAGAAAATATCAACTGGTTCATTATTTGCTATAGAAATCTAAGTTATAATACAAAACAAAAACTTTTCGAAAATTCAGTGTTGAATTAGCCATCACCCTTCTCAAGAAAATAAAAATAAGAGATTGCTTACATCTAAATACTGATTATTTTAAAATTGTAATATTAAGGGGCCAGTGTTGTGGCACAGGGAATAAAGTCTCTGCCTGCAACACCAGCATCCCATATGGGCACAGGTTCAAGTCTCGGCTACTGCACTTCCAATCCAGCTCCCAGATAATGCGCCTGGGAAAACAGCAGAGGATGGTGCCAGTGCTTGGGCCCGTACACCCAAGTGAGAGACCCAGAAGAAGCTCCTGGCTCCTGGCTTTAGGACCAGTCCAGCTCCAGCCATGGTGGCCATTCGGGGAATGACCCAGTGGATGGAAGATTTATCTCTGTATCTGTAACTCTGCCTTTCAAATAAATAATCAAAAAATTTTAATTAAAAAAAAGTTCTAAGATTAAATAAATGCAAGGCATAAAAAAAATTTCAGCTGCAGAAGCCATCAATGAAACTAATTAACCACAGAACACTAAAAATTTAGACTTCCACTGCAGTACAACAAACTTAAAATTAGGTTCAACATACTAAATATGCTTTTCTAATGCACAGCTGAAGAAGCTAAAGTGCAGAGAACACCAAAGTTGTCAAACACCAGATAGTATTTTAATGAGTCACACGCAGTCTCTGTCAGGTTTAGCAACCCTCTAAAACTGGTAAAATCATCCCAACCATTGAACCACACAAAAACAGGCCACAGGATGAAACTGACCCACCATAGTTTTGCCTGCTATACAGTAAGTCACTAGCTTAGAATATGAATCTAATGCCTGAGGCAGGGGCCGGGGGGGGGGGGGGGGGGGCAAGAAACAAACATGGGGCCCATCACCATGGGAGAATAGACCACAGGCAATCTCCCCCTTCAACCAGGACATCCCAAATCAGTAGATTAATTTTGAAAAAGAAAAACTGTGCTACAGAAAGAAACTCATCTGCCTGGACTTTGGCTATAAAAAAAAAAAAAAGCAGTTATCACCTGAGATTCCTAATCTAAAGTCTGAACTTGGGACTATAATCACACTCTGTGCCACACTGTTCTAAAATGGACTTCTGTTAAAATTAACCATCAACAACAACAGAAAGAAGAAAGAAGAGGAGTGGGAGAGATTGGAGGATGGGAGGAGATGGAAGGAGGAAGGGGGAGGGAGTGAGAGGGAGACGCCAGGCATGCAACATCTTTCTGGGGTTTTTCAGATTTCTTTTGTTTTTTTTTTTTTTTTCTGAGAGACAGTGACAAAGACAGATCTTCCATCTACTGGATCACTCCCCAAATTGTCACAACGCCCAGGTCCAAGCCAGGCTGAAGCCTGGAGCTTGGAATTCCAGGAGGTCTAACACAAGAGTCACAGAGACTCAACTACTGGAGCCATCCTTCACTGCCTCCTCAGTGAAACAGGCACTTTAGCAGGGAACTGGATCAGGAACAGATTAGCCAGGATTCAAACCAGGCACTCTGACGTGGGATGCAGCCCTCCCAAGCAGTGGCTTAAGCCACTGTGCCACACCACCTGTCCCTACCAAAAGCAAACAAACTCTTCCTGGAAGAAGTTACTTTAAACACAAACCTCAATTAATTCCCACAAATAAAGTTCCAGGAAATGTGAATTCACAACCAAAAATCACTGAACTCTAAATACAATCTGGTATTCTGTTCTAGATGTTGGAATAGAAGGACACAGGCTAGGACATAGATTAAAATGTAGAATTGGAGTAATAAAAAAATGCACCATGACTACTAAAATTTTTAACTTTAGGGGATACTGAGTGAATGGATTGTTAAAAGCTCCAATATATAACTGAAGAGACAAGTGAACTAGAACACAGGCCAAGAGAAATTACTCACAATGAAGCACAGTACATTAGAAATGAGAGGGTAAGAGACACGGAAAATCAAGTGAAAGATTCAACATACATATAACCAGAAATCCAGAAAGATATCATGAGGATAAAGGAAAAGCAATATTCAAGGAAGTAAAAATAATTTTCCAAGATAGATAGAAGATACAATTCCCCAAATTCAGTGTGCCCAATGAAGTATCATGCAACTTAAATGAAACCAATATTCAGAGACATAGGGGCCAGCATTGTGTCATAGCGAGTTAAGCCACAACCTCCAACGCCAACACCCCATATGGGTGCTGGTCCAAGTCCCAGCTGTTCCATTTCTGATCCAGCTTCATGCTAATGTCCCTGGGAAAGTAGCAGAAGATGGCCCAAGTCCACTTGGGCCAAAATATGAGACCCAGAAGAAATTCTGACTCCTGGTTTCTGCCTGGCCCCACCCTGGTTGTTGTGGCCCATTGGGGACTGGATGGAAGATATCTCTCTATTTATCTCTTACTCTGTCTCTCTCTCTCTGTCTCCCTTTCAGTCTGTGGCTCTTTCAAATAAATACATCTTGAGATAGAAAAAGAGAGAGTGAGAGAGAAAGAAGGGTAAGAGTGTCCAATTACTATGCAGCATTCAAAGGGTGAGGATTGGTGCCTGCGCTGTGGCGTAGTGGGTAAAGCCACTGCCTGCAGTACTGGTATCCCATGTGGGTGCCAGTTCAAGTTCCAGCTGCTCCACTTCCAATCCAGCTCTCTGCTGTGGCCTGGGAAAGCAGTGGAGGATGGCCCAAGTGCTCGGGCCCCGCACCCGCGTGGGAGACCCAGAAGAAGCTCTTGGCTCCTGGCTTCGGATAGGCGCAGCTCTGGCCGTTGTGGCCACTTGGGGAGTGAACCAGTGGATGGAAGACCTCTCTCTCTCTCTCTCTGCCTCTGCCTCTCTGTAACTCTTTCAAATAAATAAATAAATCTAAAAAAAAAAAAGAGGAGGGATGGGGGGGGGGTCAGAAAACAACTCAATAAAACCAGGAAAAAGTGTTTTAGAGGGAGAGGAAATAAAAAAATAGATTAAAAAAACTTCAGAAACCAAGAAAGTGAGAGACAGAAAACACAAAATATAATGGAACATAATTCCAAATATATAAATAATCACAGTTAACATAAATGGATTTAACCATAAGACAAAGATCATCAAACTACATTAAAAAGAAAAATCTTGCTATATGCTAATTACAACTCAGCTACAGGATGAGTATCCCTAATATGAAATCCAAAATGCTTCAAAATCCAAAATATTTTGAGCATTGACATTACACCACAAGTGGAAAATTCCATATCTAACCTCTTGTGACAAGTCACAGAACAGACTCACTAACAAGCTTGCAGAAAATTACTTTTAGCTATAGGTATAATGTGTGTGTGTGTGTGTGTGTGTGTGTGTGTATGAAACAATAATGAATTTCAATGCTTAGACTTGGTGCCATTTTCAATGTCTCATTATGTATGTGCAAATATTCCCAAATCTCAAAAAATCAAAAATCCAAAACTACTCTGTGCCCAAGCATTTACCCAATAAGGAATACTCAATCAGTATAAGGCCATGAACTGAAAATTAAACAAGGACACCACAAAGATAACTAGACTAATATGCCTTATGAATATTAAATGTAAAATCTCAATAAAACACTACTAAGCCAAACCCAACACTACATTAAAAGGATTATATACCATAATTTAGTTTCAACTAAGTCCCAAAGTAACAAGTTGATGGATTAAGGGTGGCGGCTTGATCCAATTACAAAATCTAAAGGCAGCACCTTTGGGGAAGTGATTATATTAGGTTGGGACCCCCACCGTCAAACCAGGATGGCTTTTTAAGGAGAGATCACACAGATACAGAGGAACGCACTTCCTGCCTTTCTTCTTCCTGGCTCCCCGTCTGGCCATCCCACTGCCCTCCTCCAAACTCACCTGAACCAACGGAGCTGCCCGATTCAGACTAGGAACCCCCAACAGTATAGACCCAAATAAGCTTCTTCCTAAGTAATTTCTCTCAGGTTATTTTAGCTAAAGTAATGAAATCATCAGAATAAAGGCAGGGGGAGGGTACATACGATCTGATCATCTTAAGAGACATGGAAAAATAATGGACAAAATCTAACACTCTCAAAAAAAAAAAAGTTCAACAAACCAGGAACATAAGGGAATGTTCTAACAAAGGCCATCTATGGAAAGCCTACAATTAACAACATACTTAATAGTGAAACACTGAAGTTGTCCCCCTGAAACAGGATAAGGAAATCTATTCTCAACACTGTACTGGCCAGGGCAATTAGGCAAGAAAATCAAATGAAATATGACAAGAAGTAAAACTACCTCTACTTGCAAAAGACATGACCTTACTTACAGAAAATCTTAGATTCCAAAAAATAAACATTGGAAGTAGTAAGTGAACTGAGTAAAGCTGCAGAAGACAAAATTCACACACAAAAAATAAACGGTATTTCTATACTGGCAATGAGCAACCCCCAAAAGGAAATTAAGATAATTCCACTTATTGTCACATCAGAAAGAATAAAATACTTATGAATAAATTTAAACAAAGAGGTAGGTATAAGACTTGTACACTGAAAACTAAAAACACTGTCAAAAGAAATTAAAGACCTAAAAATTGGAAAAACATCCCATGATCGTGGATTAGAAGACTCAACACGGTAAGATGAACAATACTCACAAATTGACCTAAAGACTAAATGCAATATTTACCAAATGTTTCACCGCTTTTTTTTTTTTTTGGGGGGGGGGGGACAAATGGACAAGCTGATCCTAAAATTCATATAGCATTTCAAGAGATCTCAAGTTAGGTGGACCCCTAACCTTAAACATACACAAAATTTAATTAAAAAGAGATCAAACACCTAACATCATGAGAGTTAAAGCTTAGGTTGGTGCTGTGCACAGGTTAAAGCCACGGCCTGCAGCGCCAGCACCCCATATGGGTGCTGGCTGGAGTCCTGGCTGCTCCACTTCTGATCCAGCTTCCTATGAGCCTGGGAAGGCAGTGGAAGAAAGCCCAAGTGCTTGGACCCCTGCGCCCACATGGAGGCCCAGAAGTTCTTCTCCTGGCTTTGGCCTGGCCCAGCTCCGGCTGTTTGCGGCCATCTGGGGACTGGATCAGCAGATGGAAGATCTGTCTCTGATTCTCTATTTCTCTGTAACCTGCCTTTCAAATAAATAAATAAATCTTTAAAAAAGAGTTAAAGTTATGAAGAACACATAAATGGGGGCTGGCGCTGTGGCACAGTGGGTTAACAACCTGGCCTGAAGCGCTAGCACCCCATACGGGTGCCAGTTCATGTCCTGGCTACTCCTCTTCTGATCCCGCTCTCTGCTGTGGCCTGGAAAAGCAGTAGAAGATGGCCCAAGTCCTTGGGCCCCTGCACTCGCAAGGGAGACCCAGAAGAAGCTCCAGGCTCCTGGCTTTGGATCGGCTCAGCTCCAGTCATTGCAGCCATCTGGGGAGTGAACCAGCGGATGGAAGACCTCTCTCTCTCTGTCTTTGCCCCTCTCTGTAACTCTTTCAAATAAATAAAATAAAAATAAATCTTTAAAAAAAAAGAACACATAAATTAAAAAATCTTTATGCGTCTGGCCCGAGATGATTTCCCCGAAAGTACAAAAGTAATATATACGTTAAGTGATGTGAGGAACTGACCCAGAAGCACCACCAAAGCATCAGCACTAAACTACATATCAGCAATTTAAATGTGCTTTAGTTTTTCTACATCTACACGGACAATGTGAACTCATATGGAGATAAAGAATGAAAAACAAGTAACTAAAGAAAGAGAACTCATGAACAGAAATCTGAGATTTAAAAGGCCCAACAGGTACCAAAGTATGATGAAGTTATTATCAAAAGAAGAAAACACTGGCATACACTTTTGCTGTGGTCTGGCTGTGGACTGCTCCCCCACAGTCTGTCTGCTGGAGGCTTGGTTCCCAAGCAGCATTAAGCAGTGGTAGAACCCTTAAGAAGTAGGACTCAGTGGAAGGGAATTAGGCGGAGAGTGGGGGGAATCGCCCTGGGATCAGATTCACATCGATCTCAAACTGAGTTAGTTCTCAAATTTGAGTTAGTTGGGGGCCGGCGCTGTGGCACAGCGGGTTAAAACCCTGGCCTGCAGTGCCGGCATCCCATATGGGCGCCAGTTCTAGTCCTGGCTGCTCCTCTTCCCATCCAGCTCTCTGCTATGGCCTGGGAAAGCAGTGGAGGATGTCCCAAGTCCTTGGGCCCCTGCACCCACATGGGAGACTGGGAAGAAGCTCCTGGCTCCTGTCTTCAGATCTGCCCAGCTCCAACTGTTGAAGCCATTTGGAGAGTGAACCAGCCGATGGAAGACCTTCTGTCTCTCCCTCTGTCTGTAACTCTCTCTCTCTCTGCCTCTAACTCTGCCTTTCAAATAAATAAATAAATATTTAAAAACTAAAAAAGCAGCAGTATATAGATATGATAAAAGCCAGATGGCCTACACACCAGATCATTTCAAAACCACACTAAGGGTCCTCGCTGAAGACCAAATCCTATAAAATCACAGCCCCATTATCTTTGAGGCCTAAGTCTCTGATCTGCTAGACCACTCCCACCCTCTCAAGGAATAATAAACTTGTGCTGTTGCATTTGCTGTTTCAGCCTCCTCAAATTCATTGTTTCAGACTCTAAAGAACCTGGTCCAAACGTTCCTACTTTCTACTCCCACAATACTAGTAAAACTTCAAATTTCTAAAAGCTACCAGAAAGATGAACACTCAAAATAAGCACCACTTTACAACTTACTTCACAATCTACTTAAAATGAGATTCCAAGTCCAACTGATGGAGTAACAGTAATCCTAACTCATGGGACAATTAGAAACATCAAAAAAGAGAAATAGAAGGACCTCATATTTAGACAACATACGATATACACTAACATCAGCTTTTCCTCAATTATAAGATGAGCATTTTTCTCATTAAAATTTCTAAACACAATGTTTCTCAAAATTTATGTATTTCATTATCAACTTTTTTTTTTCTTTTTGACAGGCAGAGTTAGACAGTGAGAGAGAGAGAGAGAGAGAGAGAAAGGTCTTCCTTCCACTGGTTCACCCCTCAAATGGCCGCTACGGCCGGCGTGCTGCACCAATCCGAAGCCAGGAGCCAGGTGCTTCCTCCTGGTCTCCCATGGGGTGCAGGGCCCAAGCACCTGGGCCATCCTCCACTGCCTTCCCGGGCCACAGCAGAGAGCTGGACTGGACGAAGAGCCACCGGGACAGAATCCGGCGCCCCGACCGGGACTAGAACCCGGTGTGCCAGCGCCGCAGGCGGAGGATTAGCCTAGTGAGCCGCGGCACCAGCCCATTATCAATGTTCTTATGAAAAATTTGTTATGCACTGGCACTATGGCACAGCAGCTAATGCTTCCCCCTGCAGTGCCGGCATCTCATATGGGTGCTGGCTCAAGACGTGGCTGCTGCACTGTCGATCCAGGTCCCTGCTAATGTGCCTGGGAAGCAGCAGAAGATGGCTCAAGTGTTTCGGTTCCTGCACCCACATGGGAGATCCCGAAGAAGCTCCGGGCTCCTGGTTTCGGTCTGGGCCAGCCCTGGCTGTTGTGGCCATTTGGAGAGTAACCTGACAGATGGAAGATTCTCTGTCTCTCCCCCTCTTTCTGTAACTCTGCCTTTCAAATAAATTGTAAAAAATAAATCTTTACCAAAAAAAAAAAAAAACTTGTTATAAAACAAAACATACATCTTCCAATGAATGGCATCTATTTTAATAGCAAGGAAATATGGTGGTACTTAATAAAATTATCTTACGGGCTAAATATTACTACCCTCAGGGGCCAGTGCTGTGGCATAGCAGTTAAGGCCACCACAGGCGATGCCAGCATCCCATATGGGCACCAGGTCAAGTCCTGACAGCTCCACTTCTGCTCCAGCTCCCTGCTAATGGCCTAGGAAAGCCATGGTGTGTGGGTCCCTGATTTCCACGTGGAAGACCCAGATGAAGCTCCTGGCTTTGGCCTAGCCCAGCCCTGTGCTCTGTAGCCACCTGGGAATTGTGCCACAGGATGGACAATCTCTGTCTGTGTGCCTCTCCCTCTTTGTAACTCTTTCAAATAAATGAATACTTTTTTAAAAAAATACTACTATCCTCACTTTTTTTGAGAAATGAAGAAGCAAAATACTTTCTCCTCAGGGTCACAGCTAGGTATACACCTGGGAATTAAATCCAAAGATAAGTGACTCCACATTCTAAGACCTTAGTCACGGAATTAAGTGTAAACTATGAACATTAGATGATTTATTATTGTAACTTCTATTTACTAAATATTCAGACTGTTTCCACCTGACTTGCTACACCAGCAGGTCTTCCCCCTCACTATCATTCCTCGTGCTGCCATCACTGGTGTGTGGTCCTGACAGCGTTCCACTTTCGTCTTTTTATGTCTATCTTCGATTTCTAATGTCCTTTCTACCGCAACACCACATCACAAACTTGCTTAACCCACAGGTCAACATTTTAAAGGACTATGAGGCATTCTCATAACTCAACCCTATGATTTTTGAGTAGTGTTCCTCAAAAATAATAAACATGCAAATCACCTGGAAGTATCGTCAAAATGCAAATTCTGATTCAGTGGGTCTAGGGTGGAGTTCTAGGCTGCATCTCTAACAAACTCAGTACAGCAAAGCGTTAGTAACACCAATTTAAATCTGTTTGCTTTAGCTTTTCTGTGTCTACACAGATCAGGATGGTAAATGTTGACTGTATAATTACCGCCTTCCCAAACCAACATAATAGTAACAATAACTATAACGTATGCCAACATATCCTATGTTCCAAGTGCAAGGCGCCTTGCTACTGTAGATCAATTCATCCTTTAAATAACTCTGGGAGGTAAATAAGACCCACAATGTCACAAGTATTTATGTACTCTGCCCTTGCTCCGAAGTACTTAGCAATGACTTATAACCTATCTGAACGTGTAACTAAAGAAAAATATGTATCAATCAGAGGAAAGAGGTAAAGGATAACATTAGCAAACGATTGACTTTAGCCAAAAAACTTTTTAAAATGTTTCATTTCTGTTGATAAAATGCTGTCTTCACTGGAAGACTTAGAAAACATGTGATGGCCTAACTTCCTTGTCTGTTCCCATGTTCACCAAGAAACCTCACCTGCCTACCTACAAAAGAAATCACTGATTATGAAGACTAAACAGTCCGTTTAACAGTAATTTCTCATAGCACGTTAGTATTACACAATGGTCAAATGAGTTTCACTAATGCTCACTTATTTACCACCCTAAAGATAAGAATGAACCCACTGTCACTCAACTAGAATTCTTCTGGAGGTTGAGGAACAAGCTCCAGGCCACAGTAAGTTTGTCAAGGTGATAAATACTAGCCTGTGAAACCCAGCAGGAGGAAGCTCCCAGTCCTAATTCCTGCTGGACACCAAGGGACCACAGTTTCTAACTGAAAAGTAAATTCCATAGAACATACCTCATCTAGGATTTCTCTATTTCTTTGTAGTAGTTCAGGTAGTTCTTTGATCAACTTATCAACAGTCTGGATGCCTCCCTGTTCAATCACAGATGTGGACTTAGTCAATATAGACTGAGGTACTGTATCTCCAGATACATCTTCAATTGCTGCTGGAAGATTAAGTGAAGCTAATACCCTGAAAAAAATGAGATACTATATGTCGTCAAGAAGTCTAAAGCAGCCTGAAATCAAATCAATAGCAAAGGAGTTAATAATACCTATCAACTGAAAAATAACGATAAATTGACTGATAGAATTAAAATAAATTTGATAAAGAATTTAAGTTATTTAAGCTCACAGATCAGAATTAAGAGCCAAAAAGAAAAACTATGACAGCACTAAAATATACCAAGTATCTTCAGTTTATAGCTAAACTTCTTACAGTCTAAGTAATTAAAAGTCAAAAATTCTACCTTTAAAAAGTCTTTTATCATGCTTTTGATGTTGATGTGAACATTAAATTTCTCACATTGGAGTGAAATGTCAAAATAATTAGGAGGAAAAACTCATACACCCTCCACAAAAGATGTAGGAATAGCTAATCAACACATGAAAGGTTGTTCCACATTAGTAATTAGGAGAATGCAAATTAAACCATGAGAAGATTCTGCTGTACACACACATACACACACACACAAATGCTAAAATTAAAAATATTGACAGTAATAAGTGCTGGTGAGGATGTATAGCAACTACATTTCTCAAACAGTACAGGCAGGAACATAAAATTGAACAACCACTTTGGAAAACAAAGAGAATGATAACATGTCTACACAACATCTGCTCGTAAATGTACACAGCAACTGAAATGTAGTCAACGGTGAGAGTGAACAAACTGCAGGGATGTCATGAAGTAGAATACTGCTCAGCAACGAAAAGGATCAAAACAACGCACACAACATGGACGAACCTCTGAGGAAAAACGTTTCATTTCTACTTCTCATTTCCTCCAAACACCTCTTTAATAAAACAAACCAGCACAGCTGGCATGTGGCAATGGGGAAGATGCCTCGTGGAATACCAGTGTCTCTCATCAGAATGCCTGGCCTGAGTCCCACCTCCCACTTCTCATTCCAACCTTCTACTAAGGCACACCCTGGAGGCAGGCAGCTAGTGACTCAATTAGTTGGGTCCCTGCCACCCACACTGGAGACTTGGATGGAGTTCCTGGCTCCTGGCCTCAGCCTGGCCCAGCCCCAGCAGCTGCAGGCCATGTGGGGAAAGAACCAGTAGATGCAACCTTTCTCTTTCTCTCTCTCTCTCTCAAATAAAAATAAATGAAAATAAATTTAAAATTTTTATGTAAGTAAATAAACTAGTAATCAAACATCCTCACCTTACTTCTGTAATTGAATTTCTGTAATGTATTTGCTAGGGCTTTTAAACACAATTTCCCCAAAAAGTGTGTGCGTATCTACATTTACCGTTTCTATCTCCTTGACATGTCACTCCAACCTGAGAAAACTGAACTGTTCATGAAGTACCTGATGAACAACCGAACAGAGAGATTTAGAACTTCAGAGACAAATTCATGAAGGTTAGGCTCTACATACCCATTTGCCAAAGTCGTGGCTTCTCTCATTTGAGCGATTGATCTGTTAACCAAATCAGCTTTCCTCTGGTTGTAGGCAGCCAGAGACTGTTGAACTGACACGGGAACCATCTTCTCAAACAGATCTGAAGTTAGGAATGGACACTTCAGTAAAGGTTTAGGACAGAAATTCAAACTGTAAGACTAACTTCATATTTTCTTTCCAATACACCTACAGATATTTAAAGGTCCACACGGACATTGCTACTGGAAAGCACAAAGACAGGGGGACTCCTCAGACCACTAGATGCCCGGCGGCCAGACCGAAAGCCTTTTCCTTGTATAAAATGTTTCTCCTTGAGTGTAAGGGACCCTCAGTGACATTATCCACCTGCTGATTAAAAGGAGTAGGCCACAGTGCCAATATCAAGTTCTGGCCCCAACATTTCCTAACTTGTGACCTTGGAAAAATTCCTTAAATCTCCTCAAATGGGAGTAACAATAATACCCACCTCATATAGACCTACTCTGCAAAGCAAACCAGATACTTACTTCTTTGTTTGAAAAGCACTATTTGAAAAGTGCTTAAAAGAGTCATGCTGTTCCAGTAAGCTGGAATATTATCCTTGGGATCTCAGCTACAAGCTACCATATCCTGCACAAATCTATGATAGCCAAGAATATTTTAACAATTACTTTATGATACAAATATGACTCCAGATATTTACATGTTTTAAGAAATATTTATGCACATTTGTTTCTAATGACAACATCTTAAATAACGTAACAGGGACCAACGCTGTGGCACAGCAGATTAAGCTGCCACTTGCAAAGCTGACGTCCCATACAGGAGTCACAAAGTGACATCCCATTCTGGCTGCTCTGCTTCCAATCCAGCTTCCTGCTAACGCATCTGGAAAGGCAGCAGACTATGGCTCAAGTACTTGGGAGACCAGGATGGAGTTCCTGGGTCCTGGCTTCAGCCTGACCTATCCCTGGCTCTTGAGGCCACTCAGAGAATGAGCCAGCAGATGGAAGATGTGTGTGTGTGTGTGTGTATGTCTCACTCTTGTCCTACCTTAAAAAACAAGTAAATCTTTAAAAAACCTAATAAATGTTAAAACGGCAAGTACTTGTTTAAAGTCTTGATCAGGGGCTAGTGTTATAACATAGCAGGTAAAGCTATCATCTTGTGACACCAGCATCCCATACGGGCACCAGTTTGAGACCCAGCTGTTCCACTTTCCAATCTTGCTCCCTGCTAATGGCCAAAGGAAAGTAGCAGAAGATGGCCCAAGCGCTTGGGCCCTTGCCACTTCCCAGCCCCAGCCAAGGTAGCCATCCGAGGACTGAACCAGAAGATGGAGAATCAGTCTCTCTCTCTAATCCTTTCAAATAAATAAATCTTTTTTTTAAAGTCTTGTTCATAATTTCAAGTTCTCTCTCTTGTATGCTTTTCATGCATTTGTTTACCTTTCATTTTTAAATTCTGCTGAAAATACAACACTTAATTTTTTAATTTTTAAAAAATTTCAGTTAAGCTATACAAGTTTAACATATTTCATATAAACAGATTTAGGAACACAGACAATACTTAATTTTTTATTCTCATATTCACTTTGAGTAACAAGAATGAAAATTATACTCAAAGCATAGGACAGCAACTGTTGTTTTTAGCTAGAAAATACAGTTGAAACTGGAGAAAGGACGAGTGAGATTAAAGCATACTTCAACAATTGACGTACCAGTAAATTTCTGGCTGATAGGTACATTGACAGGGGTAGATTTCACAAGTGTGGCTTTGCCAATGGGATCTAGATCTTTAAGGTCTGGAACTCGATCATGATAAATGAAGTCATTATCCTTCTTTGCTGCAGTAAGGGCACGGCTGATTTTGTCAGAAAAATCCTTTACACTGACGTATTCATCATAGCGAGATGCCACTGTCTTAATCAATTCCGCTGCATGCTAAAAATGGAGGGAAAAACATGGTCTTTCTCGCTTCATCACACAAGGGTTTGAAAAAGAAAATCTTTAATTTGAGGACTTTACAGGATTATGGCTGATGGGATAATCTGGAAATTCTTCCATCACAATATACACAAAAACTGAAAGAAAATACATAGCAGTCTCCCTTTAAACACACCAGTGAGATACATAGCAATCTCCCTTCAAACCCAGCGGTGAGTTCCCAAGGTAGTAAAGAAATCATCAGCCAGTCAGTAAAAACCGACATTGAGGAAGGTGGCTACTGGGTTATTTCTGTAACCCAAATAAGTAACAATTACAACACAGAAATGCCCTCGTGGAGACCAGGATAAGGGCCTAGCAGTGCTGAAACAGAGCTGAGATAGCCTCCTTTACCCCGTCACATGAAGGCAGACACCTCAGAGGGCTATACCCTTCATCTAAGGATAAATCAGAAAAACGTTATCCCGCGATGCAGGAAGCCAACAATGCAACATGTCACTTCAGCAACAATCAGATTACTTTAAAGTTTGGCCTTATACATAAAACAGACACTAAAGCCAGAAAGACTGTTAGGGATAAATTCAAAAGTTCACGTTTTGACATTTGCCAATTTGTCAGAAATTACAAAATAATTCATAAATTTGCATTTACTAGTCTCTATGTAAGCAATTATAATGAGAAATGAGTTCTCTGTATCAAAATAGAAGATTTTAACACTCTTGCCTCAGGAATCACTGGATCAAGTGAACAAAAAATATACAAGATTAATAAAGACTATAGAAGATTTAAGCATAATTGGTTTATCACAGTTAGAAAATATATTAAAATACATTTAAGGATTATATAATCTATATAAAATAACCAGATGAAGAGATAAAGCAAGTCTTAAAACACCAAAATTACAAGAATATAAAAATTATTTAACTGAAAAATCTAAGTCATTCTCCAAATTAGTTGGTTTTTTTTTTTTTTGGTTTTTTTTTTTTTTTTTTTTTGACAGGCAGAGTGGACAGTGAGAGAGGGAGAGAGACAGAGAGAAAGGTCTTCCTTTGCCGTTGGTTCACCCTCCAATGGCCGCCACAGCCAGCGCGCTACGGCCAGCGCGCTGCGGCGAGCGCACCGCACTGATCCGATGGCAGGAGCCAGGTACTTATCCTGGTCTCCCATGGGGTGCAGGGCCCAAGCACTTGGGCCATCCTCCACTGCACTCCTGGGCCACAGCAGAGAGCTGGCCTGGAAGAGGGGCAACCGGGACAGAATCCAGTGCCCCGACCGAGACTAGAACCTGGTGTGCCAGCGCCGCAAGGCGGAGGATTAGCCTAGTGAGCCACGGCGCCGACCCCAAATTAGTTTTAAAAACTCAAAATCTCCTTAGACATTGAAGAAGTATTTGATAAATTCAGTATTTTTGATTTTTATAATCTTAGTATAAAATAGAAATAGGTATACATAATAAAAATCTTAACCCTTAAAGCTAGTCATGCTTAGTAGAAAAATATTAAACATTCCTAGAAGCAGATATTAAATGAGATCACTACCATCACCACAATCATAGACATGTGGAAAGAATTAGACAACAGAATGGAAAAAAACTGAAAGGACAATGAGTAACAGTACAACCTCTTCCTAGGGTTAACATTACCATTTTGTACATTTGCTTTAGGTCTTTCCCATACGTATCCATAATATGTCCCTTTTTGCTGCAGAACCATATGAAAGCAAAGTTCAAAAGTCATGATCTCTCATCCCTAAACATCTCATAGTACATGTCTCAAAATAAAGAAAACCCCCTGAATTCCTATTATCTCTGTGAGCTAATTATTCTACATGAGTCATGGCTTTGTATCTTAATAGCTATATGTTTTTATAACCTTTTAAAATTGCACTTTGACAGTTTAGGCGATTCCTCTAAGACCGATAAGGAACCACTTTCTATAGCCAAATAAATTGCACTATCCCAACAGTACTACTCACGAACTATTTAAGCCCAGATTCAATTTTTTTTTTGGCTCCAGAAGCAACGCAAGCAATCATTTCACCTGTGCTGCCATTTTGTCTACTGATTCCGTTTTAGTTTCTGTTTGCATATGAACAGCAAGTTTCTTCCTTTTGCTGGAAGTAATGACCAGAAAGTCGCTCAGACTCATGGGGTACCCTTCTCTGCTGAGTGAGAAGCTACAGAAAATAGTTGTTGGACATCTTCTTTTTTTCCGTTGTCTTTATTGTTCTGTTTGCCTCTTTGTGAACTCAAATCAACTTAAAAAACATTTCATGCTCACTGGAAAAGAGGACCTGCCCTCTGAGATACTGATCACTGTTTATGTTACGTGCTAACCTCTGACCTATGAGTAAGCTGTAAGACTGAGCTACAAATTATGCATCTGCAATGAGCAAAAATCATTGCCTCTCACTGCGTAGGTTTAAAATAGCTTCCTTTTTCCAAAATATTTAAAAATTAGATTAAAATTGCAAAAGAACTCTTCTCTTCTCTCACAGTTTGCTAGAAAGTAAATAAATCTCTTGAGTCTACTAGTTCCATAATCTCCCAAAGGAAAAAAAAAAAAAAAAAAAAAACTAAGCTTCATTTAAAAAAAAATCCTTCCCAGAGAAATTCCTTGATCAGCAGCACTTTTTAACAAAAATCTAAGTTACTATAAGCAACAATTACTTTATTCATAATCTGAATATATAAATTCATAAACATTCAAAAACCTGAATCTTGGGGTTGGTACTGTGGTGCAGTGGGTTAACCCACCACCTGCAGTGCTGGCATACCGCATGGACACCAGCTTAGACCCCACTGCTCCACTTCCCATCCAGCTCCCAGCTAATGTGCCTGGGAAAGCAGCAGAAGACAGCTGAAATGGTTGGCCCCTATACCCACACGGGAGACCCAGAAGCAGCTCTGGGCTCCTGGCTTTGGTCTGGCCCAACCCCAGCCATTGCAGCCATCTGGAAGGTGAACCAGTGGATAGAAGATCAATCTCTCTCTCCCTCCCTCCCCTTCCCTCTGTCCCTCTCCCTCTTCTGCCTCCCCCACTCCTCTCTGCCTTTCAAATAAATTTTAAAAATAAATCTTTACCAAAAAAAAAAAATCCAAGTCATAAAAAATAAGTCTTTCTCTGATCTTGCAAGTGTGTTTTCTCATGAGAATACTACTCCTGAGCTGACTGAACACCACCACAGTATCTCCAATCCGCGTCTGAATGTCCCTAGCAGTCCTCTCCTATCCTCTGCTTACCAATCCAAAAACACCAACAACTCCTGCTGCAACGTTGTCCAGATGTCACAGCGAGTTTCTGACAACCCTAATGCCAGCAGCATGGAAGGTACTCTGCTATTTACAAGACACAAACAAGATACCGAAGGACAGCCACAGAAAGACTACCACTGTCCTCGTCAAGCTGTGGAACCACATGTTCCAGTTTAAAAAAAGCCTAGTTCCCAAGTTAAGCACTGCGCATCTTCCTGGAGTACGGGAATTTACATTGCAATAAACATGGGTAAGAAAATTAAATGCAAATTTTGCATAAATTTTGTTAAGATAAAACGAAAGACTTCCAGAAAAATAACTGGAGATCCAAGTTACTTAAGTATGTTACCAGGGACTGGGACAGCATTGTGGCGCAGCAGGTTAAACAGCCACCTGGCACACAGGTTACAGTCCCAGCTGCTCCACTCCCGATCCAGCTCCCTGTTAATGCACCTGGAAAAGCTGCGAAGATGACCCAAGTGCTTGAGCCCCTGCACCTACAAGGGAGACCTGGATGAAATTCCTGGCTCTGGCCTGGCCCAGCCTCAGCCATTGTGGCCGTTTGGGGAGTAAACCAGTGAATGGAAGATCTCCCTCCCTCCCTCCCTCCATCCCTCCTTCCCTGTGTGTGTGCATGTGTGTGTGTGTGTGTGTGTGTGTTCCTCTCTGTTAACTCTGCCTTTTAAATTAAATCTTTTTTTAAAAAATCTATTAGCAGGAGACTCACCTGTAACCTTGCTATTTCTTCTCCAAATTTCTTCTGCTGTTTTGCCAGGATAGACTGGTGGTATTCAGCATTGGCCTGCATGATACAGTGCTTTGCAGCCAAGACAGGGAACACCTCCTGGAAATAAAAATACTGACCAGGGGAGAGTCCAACCACACAAACCACCACAGACAACACGGGATGCAGGAAGAAAAGGGAAAGGAGACAGGAATTAGAATCACCCCATTAATGGCTTAGAGACAGGTTAGTCATTAGGTGTAAACAGAGAAGACCACATGATCTGGCAAAGACTGAATCCTATGGATTCCATTTTTTTCTTCCAAGTAAAATGAAGGTTTGTTTTTTTAAAAAACTGTTCATTCAAGCCAATTTAGGTTCTTACACTTAATAGAGCCATGAAGTCAACATTTTGTTTACAAAGGAGAAAGGAATGCATGCATTAGAAAGAGAAGCAGGATGGACATTCACAGAGGATTATCACGCACAGGACTTTAGAAGCTTTCTTGTGAGCCCTTACCCAGCCCTTGGAGTTAACTAAACCACCATTACTCACATATACTAATGAAACTGCTCTATAGCTGACTGTGTCATCAGGTTTAAAAGACAAAAGACAGTAAATTGAGTTCTCACTTAAATTCGTATGCTAAGAGACTTAATAAAGGTGACTATAGCCATATAAAAAGGATCCTGTATCACACAAACAGTAACGCTGCATTATCACATACTCAAAAACACATCACAATCAGATAAATACACTCCAGTAGTGACTGATGATATGAGAATATAATTTTTGCTAGTTTGTTCTAGAAAACAATTCCAATCAAAACAAATTTCGTTCAAAAATCCAAAGACATGTCCCAGAAAAGCAGTTACAGTGACAGAAGCTCTTCAAACTGCCAAATCCTAGCCTCAAATCTCACTGTTTTTAGGATGGACATAATATAAAAAAAATCCGATAAATGCTCATACACTAGACAGTCAAGGTCTAGACAAGGATATGAGAAAACTAAGTTACTGCCTGGATGCCTTCCTGGCTCTCCATGAATAATTTCCTAGCTTCCTGACCACTACGTGTAGATTCCAGTTTTCTCTAACTAGAATATGAAAATGCCTTATGAGCTTAACCGGTAAAAAGGAGAAACTAAAAGACATCTAAACCTCAAATGCACTCATGCGCTTCTCAAGGCTGGAGCAACCTGGCATTTAAACAGGAGATTTCCAAGGAATCCCAGGAACGCTGCAGAGGTAGCTTCCAAGTCTTTGTAGACGACACTCTTCTCTCCATGACAGGACTGAACTAATGGCCCAACAGGATGTAGGTAAACTGTGCGGCTGAATGTGAGGTCTTTCAGATGAAGAAGAGGTGACAGGAGATCCCAAGTCTCTTTTCAAGAGTCCTGGGCAAATTTCTGTTAGGTTCTTGGTATACGTTAAGCCCCCAAGAATCCTCACATTAATTCCTTCCTGTTCCGTTTCTAACTAAGGTATACTGCTGATGTACTCGGGTATATTTTTACTTCCCACTAAAGTTGTCTGCAATCATAATTTATGAAAATTTCTGAATGTGACATAAAGTCCATAAACTTCACTACAAAAATCATGTAAAACCACATGCTACTATAGAAATGAGGTTCATTCTTTCAACATTTCTCAACAGTAGCTAAACATTTCAGTCTAAGTTTGCTTTCTTAACCAATCCATATTTGTCAGTCTAGTCATCTGCAAATGATCATCACTCAATGCCACTTCAGGCAAGTTTGCATTAGGCCTGCACCGTGGCTCACTAGGCTAATCCTCCGCCTGTGGCACCAGCACCCTGGGTTCTAGTCCCGGTCGGGGCACCAGATTCTGTCCCGGTTGCTCCTCTTCCAGTCCAGCTCTCCGCTGTGGCCCGGGAAGGCAGTGGAGGATGAGGATGGCCCAAGTGCTTGGGCCCTCACCCCATGGGAGACCAGGAGGAAGCATCTGGCTCCTGACTTTGGATCGGCACAGCGCCAGCCGTAGCGGCCATTTGGGGGGTGAACCAGAGGAAGGAAGACTCTCACTCTCTCTCTCTCTAACTATGCCTGTCCAAAAAAAAAAAAAAAGTTTACATTAAAACATACTTCCTGTGATATGTGGTTTAAGATGGTTGCTTTTCCTTAGCTGTCCATTGGCAGCCCAATTTTCTATCCCTGCTGGCAAAACTGAATTCTAATCAAAGTAACAGACGGTTTGTTAAGCTTTCTTTTCCTTTGTTCTGTATGTCTGTCTTTGCGCTTTAAGTCTCATCTTTAAGAAAACAGGACAATAATTAAAAAGTGTGAATAACCCACATGCTCATGTATTCATGCTTGTACCAAACCACCAATGCTACAGAACCACAATGCTTTCATTTGATGCAATCATTTTAAGGTAGATGGCCAAAGCTTTTCAAAGAGTTTTAGCTTAAGAAAAAATGTTTAGTAAAGGATAAAGACAAAGACATCCCCTAAACACAAAAGAACTGTTCATGCATCTTAAATTTAAAAATGTGTTTCTACAAACACATTCTTCAAATGTCTCTATTACAATCCCACATTTCTTATTGTTATCATTTTTAATTTGCTTCTTGTATACAAAGGTGTCCAAGTATTTCCACATGCAGAATAACCAACTGTTTATAAAACAGTAACTGACCTTGGGGAGAGTGTCTTTGTACTGGCACTGTTTGAAGGCATCGCCAAAATAATCTGCAGCCTGATTAGCCAGCTTAGCTATGATGGCATCCTTCATTTTATCTGGAATAAAAATTAAAATAGACCATGAGAAATAAAATAAATTTGACATAATCTATGACTTAGTTTAAACCTTGAGATCAAAAGTATGAACACTTAAAAACAAACTTACTGATAAAATCGAGTTTTCCACATAAAGCTCGATTATTCACAGGCAAATCCAGAGACAGAAAACAGACTGGTGGCTGCTAGCAGCCGGGCAGAAGAATGAGAGTGTGACTGCTAACAGATATAAGGTCTCTCCTGAAAGTGACGATAATGTTCTCAAATACAATATTGGTATTGGTTGTAAAACTGTGAATCTATTAAAAACCAGAGAACTGTATACTTTAAAAGGGTGAATTTGAACAGATAGGAACTGTACCTCAATATAAGCTTCTAATTTAAAAGAAAAACTTAGACCAGTTCACACCTCCTCTACACAATGACTGCTGCTTACTTTCAGTTTCTCTGCACTCACTTAGCACACATTCCACACTCTCATACGAGCTTACACGTGTGCCTTCTAAGAAATCGTTCTTCTCTCACTCACGGGACTCTGCTTGCACGGCTTCTCCCTGTCACTTAGGTCGAGGTCAGAGACCTCCTCAAAGAAACCTTGACTCATGAATCTAAAATTAGCACCATTCTCCCTGTAGCCCCATCCCACAGGCAGATCACAAGCAGCTATATTATATAGTTCTTATTTTCTTCAGAGCATTTCTCTCCCTGGAATTAATTTGGCTACTTCATTTCTTGTCGTCTCCCCACCCTAAAAATGTAAGCTTCCTAAAAACAGGCCTTGTTTTTCGGCTAACTCTGTTAACGTAGACACTGGAACAGTGAGAAGCACACAGTGGCCATCCAATAAACACCTGCTGAATGAAAGAAATGTCTGACACATTACAAACACACATACACATTCTTCTCGCGTCCAGTGATTGAAGACCATCGCCAACTTTAATTCAAACACATACTACTGTCTTACATGTACATGTATGCCACAAGCTCAAAACAGCAAAGACGAAAATGTTCAATATCCACACATCAAGTTCAAAACAGAAAGCTCTAATCTGAACATTCTATAATCACCTTCTTAGTTTAACAGACTATAACATCTTTTCACATGTAATAAGATAGAGAATAAATCAGAATTACCTCTTGTAGCTTTTAAAAAAAATACTTCTTGAGCCTGTGCCAGCATAATAAGACTGAGGGTCCCGACAGTATCTGGAGATAGGTCCACAGTAGGCTCTCGGTTTAAGGCAGATAACACAGTCTCCTTAATGTGTAAAAAGGCACCACTAGCAAACTAAAGGAGGAAAAAAAGTTCCTTTAAACTCTAGGAAAATTTTCTACAGTTACAAAAATCACTTCAAGTATTAACTCAGTTAACAGTTACTATACAGTTATTTAAATTTTCGTGCTGTGTAAAACCAATCCACAACACCTGACCTATATGGAGTAACAGTACCTTTCCAAAATTCTCTAAGTAACAAGAGACTGAACAAAGATTAAAAGCAAATTATGAGAAAAGCAAATAGGACAAATTGATTAACCTTATTTTTAGATATACTTCCTCAAAACATAAAAATAAAGGCAAGAATAAAACACGATTAAAATGGTTTCAGTACTGAAATGCTCTTGCTTTGGTCTGATTCACCTTTCAAACAGTTAGGCATGCTGTGCTTAGGAGCAATCCCCAGGAACACAGACACCTAGTCTTCTGAGAAGTAACACTACTTCTACTTCTACTGCAAATGATTTCTGTTTGGCATCACAGATTTTTTGTTGCCAATTATATAATGTCAAGGCTAATATCAAAATAACTTTGCTTTTATGAAACAAGTGACACTGGGAAAATGGAAGAAGTCAGTATGGAATTAAAAAATGTAAGAGGAGAGGCCAGTGCTGTGGCATATCGAGTAAAGCTGCCACCTGCAGTGCCGGCATCCCATAAGGGCGCCAGTTCAAGTCTCAGCTACTCTACTTCCGATCCAGCTCTCTGCTATGGCCTGGGAAAGCAGTGCAAGATGGCCCAAGTCCTTGGGCCCTTGAACCCACGTGGGAGACCCATAAGAAGCTCCTGGCTTCTGGCTTTGGATAGGTGCAGCTCCGCTCATTGTGGCCAATTGGGGAGTAAACCAGCAGATCGCAGACCAACCAACCAACCTCCCTCTCTCCCTCACCCTCTCTCTGCCTTTCCTTCTCTCTCTGTGTAACTCTGACTTTCAAATAAATAAATAAATCCTAAAAAAGAAAAATATGTAAGAGGAAGCAGTCAGGATTGTGGGACAGCGGGTTAAGCCGCAACCTGCAGTGCCAGCATCCCACCAGTGTGCAGGTTTAAGTCCCAGCTGCTCCACTTCTGACCCAGCTCCTTGCTGATGGCCTGGGAAAAGCAGCCCAAGACCGCCCAAGTGCTTGGTCCCCTGCCACCAACACAAAAGAACAGGATGAAGCTCCTGGCCTCACCCTGGCTCAGCTCTGGCCACTGTAGTCACATGGACTCTCTCTCTTCCTCCTCTCTAACTCTATGACTTAAAATAAATAAATGTTATATAGGCAGGCTACAGGTTATAGAAAGAGAACTAAAAGCTAACTACATTAAAATGAACACTGTATTTTATGCAGCCATGTAATACTACATAAGTAGACTGTCTTTAAGGAGAGATAAGCTGGTGTCTTTCATTTAGAGATGAGTAACTAGAGGTCCAGAGCGTTTCAAGTACTTGCCCAAGAGCAGACAGGGACCAGGTGACAGGCAGCCTGGCTAAGGAACTTGGTCTGATACCATCAGCTCTCTTATCACACTAAGTGACTTGCTAGGAACACTCACAAAGTGCAATGTTCCCTCAACAACTGACAACAATCTCTATACAGAGAGCTAAATAATTTCACTTTCACATTTTAAAACATATAGGCCAGCGCTGTTGCGTAGGCTAAGCCTCTGCCTTCGGCACCAATCCCATATAAGCACAAGTTCATGTCCCAGCTACTCCTCTTCTGATCCAGCTCTCTGCTATGGCCTGGGAAAGCAGCGGAGGATGGCCCAAGTGCTTGGGCCTCTGCACCCGTGTAGGAGACCCGGAAGAAGCTCCTGGCTCCTGGCTTCAGATCGGCACAGCTCCAGCTGCTGCGGCCATTTGAGGAGTAGATCAGCACTGGAAGACCTTTCTGTCTATCTTCTCCCTCTGTCTGTAACTCTACCTCTCAAATAAATAAATAAATAAAATATTTAAAGAATATATTTCCCATTTATTTGTGGTTTCAAAAGAAACAATTCTATACATCATTTATGCTCATCCAAAACTGTATGCCACATTTTGGAGCATGTTTGATTAAAGTATACTTTCCTTTCTCTTTAAAAAAACAACATTCCTCGCCTGTCCCGTCAACTTAAACAATGGGAAAAACCAGACTGGACCTCTGAAACAAGCAACTTCCACAGGGAGGCATAAGGTACATTTGGAATTCCGTGAAATTTGGAATCACAACATCTGAAACCCAAGTGGACTTTATTAATACTTCTGACTTTAGTCATCTCATTAGTAAAGTGGCAATGAATGACATTATATAACATGAATCACACACAAGATTTACCTGACAGTCAAATAAGGTACATAAACACTTTGCAAATTATGAAGTAATATAAAATATGGAAACACAATCATATAATATCACTTAATAATAATCACTTGTTTTATAACCGAATTTAAAAAGCTGAGTAAATAAGCTGCTACAAACTTGTCAATTAGTAAACAATCAGTATCTAAAATATAGATTTAGCCATTTCACAAACAAGTGCATGTGTGACTGACTACAGTTAAACTGGCCTCTCCACATATTTAAAAGTTAAGCTCAATTTTTGTGACACCAGTGAAAACTTAGGTGTCGCACTCTAAGAAAACATAGTAAAATAATGTGCAGATCTTTTTAAATGAATTCACTCATTTAAAAGGGATTTATCCAGAACATATGAGATTTCTCATAGATCCAATCATTTTTGTTCAGCCAACATTTACAGAGCGTCTATCACGTGCCAGGCACTGTGCTAGGTGCTGGGTATACAATGACAAGGGAAAACAGACCTGGTCTACAGGCAGTTTAGGAAGGGCTTCAACGGTTAGGAATCCATTTTTAAAAGTACATTACTTTTCACGAAAACATCTGCTGTGTAAAGAAGCATCCACAAACCTAAATGTGAATGATGTTCAGTGGAACCCCCTTAGTGTTGACCATTAGGTAGGAACTCCTTTTCTGCATACCTGGTAATGCTTAGCAGCGATTTTCAATCCTTCATCGTTATCCAGGTTCTGTTCTGCTGCAATCTGGCTAGCTAAGGCTGCACAATTGAACAACACACAGCTCTTTTCATATCCTAAGCTTGCAAGAGCTGCAAAAAATTGAGAAGGAAAAATTTATCAGATTATTTTTTCTAAAAATGAATGTTTCAAAGAGCAATACTATGACCTCTGTCCCATGGCCCTCACAGAAACAAGTTTCCAGACCTGTGTTCTCACCTACCACGCTCCCGTGTTTTGAGCTGCCCTACCACCCATTTCTACAACAGTCCCATCACCTAAAATTTAAAAGGTGGATAAATTATCCTCTCTCCTCCTGAATCCACATTTCCTTTACAGTCATTCTCAAGTCTTTTCTGGCTTAATTTCTTAAATTCGAATAAATGCCTTCCACTTCTCTATCACCTCTCAAAATTACATCTTCCCACCACATTTAAAGCAGTTCCTCTTTTTTTTCTTTTTTTTTTTTTGACAGGCAGAGTGGACAGTGAGAGAGAGAGAGAGAGACAAGAGAGAAAGGTCTTCCTTTTTGTCGTTGGTTCACCCTCCAATGGCCGCTGTGGCCGGTGTGCTGCGGCCAGCGCATCGCGCTAATCCAAAGCCAGGAGCCAGGTACTTCTCCTGGTCTCCCATGGGGTGCAGGGCCCAAGCACTTGGGCCATCCTCCACTGCACTCCCTGGCCACAGCAGAGAGCTGGCCTGAAGAGGGGCAACCAGGACAGAATCCGGCACCCCGACCGGGACTAGAACCCAGAGTGCCGGTGCCGCAGGCGGAGGATTAGCCTAGTGAGCCGCGGCGCCGGCTTAAAGCAGTTCCTCCTCACAACCAAACTGAGCCAGGCCAAGCAACTCCTGGCTGGCCCTCCGAGCTTCACTCACTCACTCACTCAGGACGTTTCCCGGGGGCCAGAAAATCAGTTTGGCTAAAATGCAATCCTGATCTAAAGACTCTGCGTACCTCACATCCATTAAGATAACTGCAATTAAACAAAACAACAGAAAATAACAAGTGTTTATGAGGGTGTTAGAGAAAGTAGAACCCTTGTGCATTTTCAGTCATGCAGTAAAATGGTGCAGACAGTGTGAAAAGCAGTACCTCAAAAAATTAAAAATAGAACCATCATTTGATCCAGCAACTGCATTTCCAGGTATATACCCCAGAGAACTGAGAGCAGGCCCTTGAAAACGTATTTGCATACCCATTTATAGCACATCACCCACAAGGGCCAATGGTGACGCATCCCCAGTGACCTTCAACTGATGAATGGATAAACACAGGAGGTACGTACAACAGAACAGTATAAAACCATACACTACAATATGGATGAGCTTTGAGGATGTCTTCCTGAGCAAAATGAGCCAGTCACAAAAAGACAAATACTCCATGATTCTACTCAGAGAAGGCAATTCCATATAAACACTTGATGCATTTTGGCTTCTGCAGCCCACCCCAACGAAATTTCTCTACCAAATCCAGTGACTTCTCTCGAACTTTGCAAAGTGACCTCCACCACAATGATTCTTCCAATGATGTCCCAACCCCAGGTGATCCTAAAAGTCTCCTGGAGCTATTTTTTTAGCAATTTATTTATTTACTCATTAATTCACTTGAAAAGGAGAGGGAGAGAGAGATCAATCTTCGATCTGCTGGTTAGTGAACCAATGCATCCTAAATGCATACAACAGCCAGAACCGCCCCAGGCCAAAGTCAGGAGCAAAGAACCCTTTCCAGGTCTCCCATGTGGGTGACAGGAACCCAAGTAATTGGGTCATCATCTGCTGCATCCCAGGCACATCAGCAGGAAGCTGGGCTGGAACCAGCAGCCAGATATGAGATGCAGGCATCCCAAACAGTGGTTAACCTGCTGTGCCACAATGTCTACCCCTAGAGGTATTTTTAAGGACACTAAATCCAGTGCCCTACCCCAAAATTTCCTCTTATCACATGCAGCATTTGCATATTTTGCAAATCCATCTTTTAAGATTCATCTTTAAGTAGACACCTGCATTTTTAACATTTTCTCCAGGTAATTCACATGCAGTTTGGTAAACAAGGGACTCTTCTGGCATTCTTGTCCAAGTCTCCTTGTTTCCATGGTTCCCCTAAGACCTGAAGGCTTTCTCTCAATCTCATTTACGAAACCACTTCCTCCTTTTCAGCCTAAATACTATATTCCCTAGCTCTGGCTTTCACACTTCTCTCTGCCTGTTATCAGCCAGAGAGGACAACCTGATTTTCACCTAATGATAACTGTTCCCAAACCTAAATTTTTAACTCTTTTAAACTTTAAACTCATTATTTCCAAATGTCAGAGAAGTTTCTACTCAGATGGAACAGAAAAGTCAACTCAACCTATTAAAATGAATAAATATTCACAGGCCAAACCTCAGAATCAACTCTCACCTCCTGCTCTTCCTTCTGAATGACAGCAAATCCAGTCACCTTCACCCCAGATCCCTTTCACTCCTCCCTTCTCCTCTGACCTACAGCATGACCTTGTCTAACTTCATGATCTCTCTGGACCACTTGTCTCCTAACTGGTCTGCCTGTCTCTAGTCCCTGGAGTTAGGTTTCCTGGATTCAGATCCCAGCTTCATTAAATCCTATCCACGTGGCCTTAGATAGTCACTTAAGTCTTTTCAAAATGCTTTTCGCAAGTGGTAATAACAGTGCCTTTCCTCTTTGGTCTACTGGGAAAAACAGAAAGCTAATGATGTAAAGCCCCTTCCACAGTGCCTGAGTGGAGTAACTGCTCGAAAAACATAAGCTATTAACAGACAGGAGGGGAAGAGTTCAAGTCCAGAAGCACAGATCTGCAACTCTGCACCACCTCCTTTCCAGTATCACCAGCCCCGCTCCAAGGCCATGGTCTCCAGCAGTAACAGCAATTATCATAACACAGATATACAATATATACTATGTAACACAACAGTTATTTCCATTTCCTCGCCTATACGTCAGCATATATTATATACACTTTACATTTAAACAAAATATAATATGCATGCTATATATGTCCAATATGAAATGTGTATATGTGTGTGTGTGTATATATATATATATTCTATCGGAGCTGGTGCTGTGACGTAGTGGGTAAAGCCACCACCTGCAGTGCCAGCATCCCATATAGAGAGCAAGCAGTTAGCGTCACAACTGCTCCACTTCTGATCCAGCTCTCTGCTATGGCCTGGGAAAGCAGTAGAAGATGGCCCAAGTGCTTGGGTCCCTGCACCCACATGGGAGACCCAGAAGAAGCTCCTGGCTCCTGGCTTCGGATCAGTGCAGCTCTGGCAGTTGCTGCCAAATGAGGAGTGAACCAGCAGATGGTTCTGCCTTTCCTTCTCTCTCTGTGTAACTCTGACTTTCAAATAAATAAATAATTCTTTAAATATATATATTCTATCTATAAACTTTATAAGGTACACACAGGATATCACACTCTGTACTATATAAAGGATAGGTAAGTGTGGGGTTTGATACAGCAGTTAAGATGCTGCCTGGAATGCGTGTATCCTGTCTCAGACTGCCTGGGGACAGATCTCAGCTCTGCTCCCGATCCCAGCTTCTTGCTCACGCGCACCCTGAGAGGCAGTGGATAAGGACTCAAGGCAGCTGGGCCTCTGCCACCCAAGAGGAACACTCTGAATTCCCAGCTCTGGGTTTTGGCCTGGCCCAGTCCCGGCTACAGCAAGCATTCAGGAATAAAACAGTAGATGGGTGATCTCTATCTGTCTCTTTCTGACTCTGTCTTCAAATAACAAATAAGTAACTCTACATAAATGTACTATATAAAGTATATGTAATATACCTCATATAGTATGCTATATATAAGTTTACAATTTGATTTATAAGGCATAAATATCTCATACAGTACAGTATATATATGGTATGTATATATATATATATAATCTTAAATACATTGTTATAACCTTACATAGTATTATTATCTACTACAGCTAACACTACTGAGTGCTGTTCTAAGGACCTGACATGTATTCACCCAGTAATCCACAACGAGATAAATAGTATTATCCTCACTTCACAGATGAGGAAGTTAAGCACAGAGAAGTTATCTCACCCAAACTGATAGATCAAAAAGCCTTTGCCCTTCTAACTTTTGGTTATGATGTGGTGCCTGTAATGCTATTTTCTACCAGGAAAAAAACAAATTCAGTCTTCAAGTCCTACCCAACCACTGCTCATATTCAACAGGTAGAACTAACACCTTCCTCACCCATGCTCCCATGGGTAGGTTCACAGGCATAAGACATTTGAGAATGACCCAACTGTCTTCCCAAGCAAAAGGAACACAACTGTCTCACTCATTTTTATAACTAGGACAGTGCCTGGCAAGACATAGGCTCTCTACAAGTATTTCAGAATTGCATTAAAAGTTCAAGTGAAAAAGAAAATGAGATGTAAAAAAAAAATTAGTATTTACAGTATTTTTAAATTGAAAACCAAAAATAATACAAAATGTTTCAGCCAAATTTACTACATTTTTATTAAAAATTACATACCTAATTTTACAGAGCCTCCAAAAAGTGAACCTTTATCAAAAGCATCCTTCCAGGTGAATGTCAAGCAGATCTGCAGAGAGTAAGAGAAAACAGGAAATTATGTCACCTTTCTGGAGCTCATTCTCTTTTGAAGAAAAATCCCCTATGAGAAGAAGGACAAAGCCCCCTCTGCCTACAACATTGTCCTCTCTACCCAGCCAACTCCTCCTCCTTCCCTTCTCCTGACCAACCTTTCTTTCCCACAAAAGGATGCAGGATTGCAGAGCGGCAAGCTAAGCTACCACTTGGGAAGCCCACATCCCAGCTACTCTGCTGCCAGCCTCCTGCTAATGCACCCCGAGGTGCAGCAGATGATGGTCCCCAGCTGCAGCTCGGCCCAACCCTCCCACTGAGGACACGGGAGAACGAATCAGCAAAGGAAAACAGTGCACACACACACGCTCTCTCGCTGTCATTCTTTCAAAAAAAATGAAAACAAACAAACAAGTAAAATACCATCCATAGGATATTTCAAATAGTCATTCTCCATCAGTAATCAAACACTACTTTTCTCATATTTATGAATATATATTACAATGGCTTCAACAGAACAAGTACTTAATAAAGAGCTGTCAAATAAGCCAAGTAAACACAAGCGCTAAAGGTTTCCCAGAAGATAAAGCAAAAAACAACTATTCCATGATAACAGACTTGGAGAATGGTTAATTTGAAGGGAAAGGATTAGATAATATCTTGTTTCTCAATCTATATGGTGGTCTTACCTGCATTTTCACTTTGTGAAAATTCAGGCTATACACAATTTGTTTATTTTTCTGAATTATACTTAATAAAAAGTTATATACTTCTCTGTTTCTAAAATGAGTATACCACATATGAAGTTTAAAAATAACTTAGCCTCATTTAAATTATTTTTACAATCCAATATAAAAATGTTAAGCTCTGGATTAGGGGAAGTTTCAAACATTCACAAAAGCAGAGAGAGAACCATCATGAACTACGCACCCATCAGCGGCTTCAGCCTTTTATCCTTCTCGGTTCACCTATCCCAACTCCCCGCCCCACTTACACGCCACACACACTTTTTCTCCTGCAGTATTTTAAAGCAAATCTCAACACTTAACTATTTCACCTAAGAAACTTTTGCACACCAATGTTTAAAGTCCTTTGTAACTGAAAGTTCGAAGTGCCACAAACTTTAAAACTTTTATCAATCTCTCAAATAAGACTGTAAGACAGCTCAGTATTCTCAACATTTAGCCTGTAAGAGAAAATGAAGTTGACTTCTTGTAGTGTAACATCTAATCATACAAACATCTGCAACTTTTACATAAATGTGATTTGTGCAAATAATTTTTAAAGCATATAAACTGACAGTAATTCTTCCTGAATTACGGTTTTCTGAATTCCGTAAAAGTCAAGGGAGAGGGCACAACAAATTGTATTAATCAGTCAATAATAGATCCCCTTAATATAAAATGCAGGCCAGTGCTCCACAGGATGAGAAATTACATACACAGAATTCCAGGAGACTCTTCCTTTAAAAGGCTACAAAGTCATATCAAATCTAAAAGTTTCTAATTTATATGAAAATATCTCATAAAACCTAATGACAGTAAAAAAAAAAAGCATCACCAATTGCAATAAAATGATACTATGAGTGGAAGGGAAATGGTTGCTTGCTGTTACCATAAAACTTTAAAACAAAATTAGAAACTTACCTGATTTTCAGAAAATGGGAATTTGGGTTCAATGGAACAAATCTGATCATAATATCTAAAAAAAAAAAAAAAAGAGCAAAATTAATGACCACCAGCCCTAAATATTACACAAGTTTATGCCAATACAACTGGCTTATGAATATACAAAAATTATTCATACTTACATTGAGTGGCCTATAAATTAAAATCAATCAGCTATTTAACGGTTAATGAAGCTAGTCTTTTTGACACAAATTAAAATGAGAAAAACCGTGTGAAATCAAGCCTCTGACCCTGAGGCTTCTGCCTACTTTATCAGCCCCCACCTCTCTCTCAGGTTTACAGTTCCTCTGCTTCCCTGTGATGATTCACAAGTCAACTGCCTGCTAAAGATTAACTCTCTTAATTAAGGGAGTGGCATGAGAGTAAGGTAGGCCACCCCATCACAAAGACAGAACCCAATTCTCACCTCCACAGCTAACATTCTAATGACAGACTCCACTCTGAAAACTTTCACTGTTCACTTACTTATTTTTATTTACTTGAAGGCAAAGCAACAGGAACTCCAGGCCCTGACCACACAGCATACTACTGTGCTTAACAGAGTCTACTCTGCTGTCTCAAAAAGCACATGCTGGGCCCTGTCACTGACCCACCAAAGGCAGCCCCCGCACTGTGGGCCAACCAGAGGCCTGCACACAAGCTGAGCGCCCTCTGCTCAGCCCCAACTCTGATCTGTGAAATTCCCACCCTTAATCTCCCCTGAGTTCAGCTGCTTGCTCTGTGCACCCAGCGTCAGCGATCAGCTTGCTGCACTTGGTACCCAGACCCAAGTCTGCAGGGGGTGTTCCATAACAACTGTGAACAAAACACTCATACCCACCCCACAGAAAAATATGCAAACTAAGACCTGCTCAGGAACCAATTTTTGGCCTAAAATGCTATTTCCTGTTAAGATATATCCAATGGACAAATTAGCATCTCCAGTAAACTGTTGGTTATAAACAGGTTTACCAACCTCCAATATGCTTTAGGAGAGCCCAGTTCTGTTCATCTCCCCCACGGCCACACAGCTCATCAAAACTCACACAACTCACCTCTTCCAGGTAGACTAATCCAAGTTTCCGGGCCAATCTCCCTGTCTCCTTTCTCATTCTTTCCACTCCATTCTCCACACAGCCTCCAGAAAGATCAATGAACATAAAGCAATGTTTTCCTTCATCAGGGACAAAGGGAGGCAGAGGGGGACAAGGCCATGCTTTTGTTGCTGTGTCTTTGGATTTATTTATTTATTTATTTGAAAGGCAGAGTTACAGAGAGACAGGGAGAGAGAGAATCTCCCATCTGCTAGTTCACTCCCCAAATGGCGGCAATGGTTGGGCCAGGAGCCTGGAACTCCTTCTGGGTCTCCCATGTGGGTAGCAGGGTCCCAAGTTCTAGGACCGTCTTCCCCAAGGAGCTGGATCTGAAGTGGAGCGGCCAGGATGCAAACCAGTGTTCATACAGAATACTGGCACTGCAGGAGGCAGCTTAAACCTGCTGATCCAAGCTTTCTAATGGCCCTTTTCCCCTTCCCTGGGTCCCCCTATGCGTCCCCCTCCTCACTGGTACGCCAGCCCAGGGGGCCAAGCTCTCTAATGGCCCCTTTCCTCCTCCCTGGGCCCCTCTATGCCTCACCCTCCTCACTGATGCTATCTTCCCAGTGATTATTTTGGAGTATGTTGGTAGAGGACCAACATTTCTGAAACCAAGTTTTCTGACTGGCATGGCAATCAGTTTGGTTATAAGCAGGAAGAACTCAGTAATTAAGTAAACACGCTGAAGATCATGACGGCACGTTTCTCACTGTCAGAAAAAAGGTCTGCAAACAGCAGGGAGAAGGCTGGAATAAACTGGGGTTCTGATGAAACGGAAGGCCTCAGTGTGAGATCATCTTTCAACATAGTGGAGAGAACAGAAAGAGGTGCATGTACTCCTAAGTGTTTCCTGAATGTATACGCGGAAAGGGCCTAGAAGCAGTACCCCATCTCACAGTGTCCACATAAACAATGCTCTGCATTAGAAAGGGGGCAAGTGCACTTCACAGAAAGCCTGGATCCAGGGCTAAGGCTGAGAAAACGCAAGACTCAATCCTGAATCATCTTGCTGCACCTGAGTTAAGGGAGCACTCAGAAAATGAGGAAGACAGGCCGGCGCTGCGGCTCACTAGGTTAATCCTCCGCCTAGCGGCGCCGGCACACCGGGTTCTAGTCCCGGTCGGGGCACTGGATTCTGTCCCGGTTGCCCCTCTTCCAGGCCAGCTCTCTGCTGTGGCCTGGGAGTGCAGTGGAGGATGGCCCAAGTGCTTGGGCCCTGCACCCCATGGGAGACCAGGAAAAGCACCTGGCTCCTGGCTCCTGCCATCGGATCAGCGCGGTGCGCCGGCCGCAGCGCGCCAGCCGCAGCAGCCATTGGAGGGTGAACCAACGGCAAAGGAAGACCTTCCTCTCTGTCTCTCTCACTGTCCACTCTGCCTGTCAAAAAAAAAAAAAAAAAAGAAAATGAGGAAGACGTAAAAAGACACAGGAACTCACTTTAAGGGGCTCTCAGCAGCCAAGTAGAGATAAATTTTAATAGTGACGATTCATAATAAGGGAAATAACACCATTCTGAAGTAAATAAAATAATCAGGTAAACAGAGAAAGCACCACCTTATTGTACAATGCCACCTAAAAAATCTAATAAGGAAACAACGGAATTAGAAAAATCACTTTTTTTAGATTTATATTATTTATTTGAAAGGCAGAGTTACTGAGGGAGGAGGAGACAAAGAGATGTCTTCCATCTGCTGGTTCACTCCCCCAAATAGGTGCAATGACTGGGGTTGGGCCAGGCCAAAGCCAGGAGCTTCTTCCAGGTCTCCCATGTGGGTACAGGGGCCCAAGCTCTTGCGCCATCTTCTGCTGCTTTCCCAGGGGCATTATCAGGGAACTGGACTGGAAGTGGAGCAGCCAAGACTCAAACCCGCACCCATATGGAATGCAGGTGCTGCAGGCCAGGACTTTAACCCACTGCACTACAGTGCTGGCCCTGAAAAATCAGTTTTTGACATCTTTCAGGGTATAATACCTGACTTTGATAAGATTAATCAATGAGGTTAAAACAATGAAAGTTTGACAACAGCGTATCATACAATCTCAAAGTATCTGCCCACAGAAATACTTAGAAATTTGTTCAATATAATTATTAACTGCAAGGTCAAGTGATAAAAGTCAACATCACCACAAACAGAACAAATAAGTTTTTTCTGATATGCACCAAAAAAAAAAAATGTGCTTTGGTACACCCATACAAAAAATACATAAATCACAAGAAAATATGACACAAAATCCTACTGAAGGACATTCTTACAAAGTAACTAGTCTATATTTTTCAAAAATGTGAAGGTTATGAAAGACAAGAGAAAACTGAGAACTGTTCCAGACTGAAGGAGCCTACAGAGCTATAACAGCTAAATGCAAAGCACAGGGGTCAAGGCTGCGTGCGGGTGGTCAGCTGCAGCTTGGAATGCCCACACCCCATGCTGGAGGGCCAGTTCAAGTCCCAACCACTCTGCTTCCAAGCTAGCTCCTGATAATGTACCTAGGTTGGCAACAGGTGATGGCCCAAGTGCTTGAGTCCTGCCACTCAAGTGGAAGACCCAGACGGTGTTCTGGGCTCCTGGCTTTGGCCTGGCCCAGCCCTGGCTATTGCAGGGATCTGGGGAGTGAACCAGTGAGCAGGTAGACATTATTTATCTTTCCCTCTCTTTCACTGTGCCTTTCACATAAAAATAAATATCATTTTTAAAAATAATAAAAATATAAAAACAAATGCAATGTACAATCGTAGATAAGTCCCTGGAACTATAAACAACATAGTCAGGAAAATCAATAAACTCTGAATAAATAGGGGCCGGCAATGTGGCACAGTGGGTTAAAGCCCTGGCCTGAAGAGCTGGCAATCACATATGGGCACTGGTTCTAGTCCCGGCTGCACCACTTCCGATCCAGCTCTCTGCTGTACCTGGGAAAGCAGTAGAAGACAGCCAAGTCCTTGGGCCCCTGCACCCTTGTGGGAGACCCAAAAGAAGTTCCTGGCTCCTGGCTTCAGACTGGCGCAGCTCCGGCCATTGCGGCCATCTGGGGAGTGAACCAGCGGATCAAAGACCTCTCTCTCTCTGTCTCTACCTCTCTGTAACTCTGCCATTCAAAATAAATAAATCTTTTTTTAAAAATCTGAAAAAATATCACAAATGCTAATATTAAATCAAGGTTGGGGCCGGCGCTGTGGCAGAGTGGGTAAAGCCACCACCTGCAGTGCTGACATGCCATATGGGCACTGGTTCGAGTCCAGCTGCTCCACTTCCTAGACAGCTCTCTGCTGTGGCCTAGGAAAGCAGTAGAAGATGGCCCAAGTCCTTGGGCCTCTGCACCCGAATGGGAGACCTGGAAGAAGCTCCTGGCTTCAGATCGGCCCAGCTCCAGCTGTTGCAGCCAACTGGGGAGTGAACCAGCAGATGGAAAACCTCTCTCTCTCTCTCTGCCTCTCCTCTCTGTGTGTAACTCTTTTGAATAAATAAATAAATCTTTAAAAAAAAATCAAGACCAATTTCCTGATTTTGAAAGTTATACTGTGATTACAAAGGGTATTTTTGTAATTAGGAAATTACCTCTGAAGTATTAAGCACTGAATGCTCTTAACAGGCTCCCGTTACAGTTCAAGTCACAGCAGGAGACACGGATGAGGTCTGCCCTACGTGGCCATCACCTCAAGATATTCACTATATGTTCACTGAAACCTACGAGAAACTTCAAAAAGTTCAGGGAAATGGAGCTGAATGATAACAGATAGAAACTTTATTTCTCAGCATAAGTTCAAGATACTGCTATAAGCAATGATATAAGTCATTTAACCAATCCCTGAAGAAATGAGGGTCCTAGGAAGTTCACCACGTCAACACCGTCTTTCTTGCATTATTCACTGAAGGAAACTGAGTGTCCCTTAAACATCTTTTTTATGATTAGGAGACAAAAAGAAGTCAAACGGAGACCAGGA